AGCAGCCATTAGAGCTGGAACAGAAAATGAACCAGCAACAGTTTTGATCATTTAGGGTCATTTTAAAGCAACAATGCTTCTCAAATGTGAGGATTTTTTGTTTTAGATAATTGTAAAATGAATATCTAAGTGCTTTGAGCTGTTAGTCAGATAAAAGAAGGCATTTGAAGGCGTCCTCTTGGACTTTGGGAACTTATGAGGGGATTTTCTTTTTTGGTATTTTCTGACATTTTATTGATTAAACAGAAAAATCGATGATTTAAATAATAATTAGTTGCAGCCCTAACCGCAAGTGCTACTAGTGTTAAAAGAAAGCAGCTGAAGTGGAAATTTAAAATACATTCACGAGACATGGTGATAAAAAATTCTGGGGTAAATCTTTTTCCAACTTTGGTCATTTTGGGATAGACTACTGCAGACTACTACATTAGAGGCAAACATTATTGGTGAAAAATTTGGTTAAAAAAAAACTGTGTGCAACAGTGGGGCGTTGAGCACGCTCAGAAAAGCTGTGCTCGTGCATAAGAAATTGAGAAAAATGAACAAAAACATACGTGTCTCCATCTTCAGTGATAGTTGTGAGCAAGTTCTCCTCCTGTTCAGTGAGTTCAGAGCTCTGTGCTCGCTCCTCCTGGGCGCTGGAGAGCGTGCAGCCCCCTACTATCTCCGACAGACTCTCCACCGTGATGGACGAGGAGCCGTAGGCTGAGTCCAGGTGCTCCTCTTCGGCGGGACACTTGTCCCTCGGCCCGCTGAAGTCGGCGCTCGGCTCGCGGCGCTCCTCCGACTTCAGTATGGAGCGGTACGAGTCAATGCCCGAGTCCGTGCGGTTATCCTCCAGCAAGTCATCTTTCCTACAGTCGTCGCTCGCCATGGTAGTGGTGGCGTCGCTGGGCTTTCCCCTCCCTCCTTCCGCGAGGATTTAACGGCTACTATCGGGTGTTCTCCGTGATGTGACCGGACTCCGCGGACAGCCTGCTGACACCTGAGGAAACCACCGCTCCTTTGTAAAACCAGAGGAATGAGCCGCTTCGTTTCATGCCACTAACCTATAATGCATTACCTCACAGCAACAGGCCTTCACTCCTAATCGATTATAGATGTTTTTTAAAGTTTCAAACTATGGTATGGTAATTCCAAACTTCGTGAAAAGGGTTAAAATCAAGCTAAAACTAGAGAAGCGGCCGTCCGTCGTCGAGATATCCGGTAACAGCGTGAACTCTACGCAGAGCAATGAAAGGCGAAGCTGTTTTTGTCAAGCGGGGGAATCCCCAGTGCGCGTGAGCAAACGTACACATGCATACACTCTCGCGCCACACATAGCTTGAACTGAAAGAGCGTCAAGATTCAACTGTCAAAGTAAAAGCGGAAGTGATGAGATTTTCAAAATAAAACTGTATTAAAAAATACCACAACTTCAGTGGATCTAGCTCTGAGTTTATTGAACTATACAAGTAAAACATGTTCTACTTTAAATCACAACTAATCATTTAGCAAGATATACGTTGACTTTATTTATCTCAAGGAAAACTGTTGTACAGCAGTTGAAGTATAAAATATGAAAGAGTACAAATAAACTGCAAATATAAAATATCAATAAGGTACAAATCCAAAATATACACAATGCCAAACATATTAACAGGTTAAAGGTAAGGATCATTCTTGGTGAGTTGCATATGAGTATTGACATACTAGAAGTCGTAATCTTTAGGCTTGTCACTGGTTGCAGCATGAAACCACAGACACATTATTATTCAAAGGATTAACCTGAACAAGCCAGTTTACATAAGTCTTACAGAAACATAAAACATATTTTATATTTATTTATCTCTGTCAAAAAGGTACGAAAAGTTCCTATTTGCCCCATATTCTCTGTCTTGGGTAGAGGCCTACAAGAATAGATAATATATGTAAGCAGAGATTACATTTTTGAACTCCCAAAAGATCAGGAATAACCCAGCTATCATTTATTTTTTCCTTTTTACAAAGGACAGAAATGGCAGGAATGCAGAATTGCAGGAATGCAGGAATACATTCTTCTTCCTTCTTCTATTTCACAAAAACAAAGTCCTCAATCTAAAAATCATAATAAGTCTGTTGACAGGTTTCAATCTCAAAGAGGATAGCATTAAGAATTCTGGAAGCATGAAATAAAATGTTGCTCTGTCACTACTGGATTTAGCTAGATTAATCAGTGTTTATGTGATTAAACAGAAGAAATATGGCCTTATGAATGACAAAGACGAAAGATTCAATCGCCCACAGTTAACAAAAATATCACGACAAAAATATTTATACTTTAAATCTTTAAACATTGGCTTGAAAGGGACGTCAGGCTCTATCACACTGCACATTTTTATGTTCTTACAATTATGTATTCATAATTAATCTTAATGAACATTACACAATTGCTGCAGCCCTATTGTATTACATACATTATGTTTTTCCTGTATGTGTTTGTTGCTCAATAGTGAGTTTACTGTGGGGGTTAAATATTATGTGTTAATATAAAAAAAAAAACAAGCACAAGCCTATATTTAGCTGTAGGCTATATTCCTGCAATAAGCAACTTTTTTTTAATGCATTTCTTACAGTATTAAAGCCTTCATTTTTAAAGTGGATATACTTATTATTATCATAATTGGTCCATACAGAGATGGTCTTGCAGCTAATAGGATGCAGGGGGGTGGGCCCCTCTCTGCAGCACCGCCTCTGTGTGTGTTGTGATTCTACTTGTGTGAGTTATTTACATTGTGGCGTCGGGCTGGCAGCTCACACGTGCCGCTGCCTTTCGTCTTTGTCTCGCTTCACAGCTTCACTGGCTGCTATGGGCACTGCCTACAGGGAGAGGAGCTGACTGCCGCCTTTGCCATTTCCTAACATTGCATCCCTCGCAGCATTCGTCGCGGGAGGAGTCTCAGCCTATTTTGCACGTCTTCGGAGGCACAATGACCGGATTACAGTAGCCGATACCGACGTCTGCCCACCTGGAAGATGCTGGGATGGTGCATGTTTTGAGCGTTTCTACTTGGGTTTCCGGCCGGACGAGTTTCTTATGGATGATGCACAGAGGGGTTTTGCGGTGTCTTTATGTATCACCCTGATTTGGAAACCCTCCATCCCACCAGGAGATCCATGACCTGGTTTTTGTTGTACCGTTGTCATCATGTCCCCAGCATCGGCTGCAACGGCCAGTGAAAGCAGCACCACCACCGTTCCCGAAGAGGAGCAGGACAGTCCCCGAGAGGAGGTGAGGACTCATTGTTTGCAATGTGAAGGCCAGTTTTCTTATCCAAATGCATGGGGGTAAGAAACAGTGGAATCCCAATTATCTAACTATAATCATTCGTTTTTGGAGATCCGGGTTTAAATGGGGCCAACGTGCACGGGACGCTTGGAGATTAGTTGTATTAATACAGTTGTATTAATTGCCTAATATGCAGTAGGTTAATAGATGAACCTGTGCGTCCAAGCGCGCACCCGAGAGTGTGAACGTGCATGGTTTCCCCCTCAGACAAGTTTCCAAAATGGGGTTTGGGGACCCCTTGTGCGTCCTGGAAAGGCTCCAAAAGGGTCTTCAGATAACTGAAACTGTCTAATATCACTGTCGCTGTTACAATAATGAGAGAATATAAGAATGGCCATTTTCTTCAAATGTTTCCACACTGTTATTTTTCCATAAGAAAACTCCTAACATGAACAACATCTTTGTGGGTTTGTTACTTCAAAGACAAAGAAGTCTTGCTCCAGACAGTGAGTTTAATTATCTGCGAGGACTAAAGTGAAATATCTTAATAAGGATATTCTGTTGCTGTCAACATCAGATTGTATTGACTCCATTACAACAGAGACACGCACATTCAAATGTTTCTTGCATGTGGAAATATAAATTAAAATCATTAGGGATCTATTACCTGAGCAAAAAAAGTAGTATTTTTTGTTGTGACTGTGTAGACTTCCCCTTCAAACACACATGTTGGATAAGTTACATGTCCATTACACAAGAGGGTTTTTATATAACCCCGTTGGTCTTATTATGTCAAGAGAAAGTGTCCATGACTGAGAGAGGCACTTAGTTAAAGGCGCCACAGTGGTCTCGTGAATTGTGAAGCTTCTCCAGTCTTGAAGGTTCTGACTGAACCATTTGTTTTTTAAAATATTGATTAGGTTTCATAACAAACTGTTTTTTGGATTTTAATAATATATAATGTAAAGTGTATTAGATAAAGACAACCTAAAAGTTTACGGACATGACTAAAGTAAACCACTATTAGTAAACCTCAAAGGCATTAGGATACAAACAGGCAGGCTGGTATGAAAATAATAGAGCATTTTTTTTCTATTCTCTTTATGTTTAGTTTTACATTTGTGCATTCTTGTGTAAAGGGAGTGTACAATACATACGCTCAATTGCTGCCAAATGTCAAATTTAATGATAGAGCCTCCGGCCAACTGAACCTGTCGGAAATCAAAAATACAGTGAAGGGGGGGATTTCTCTCTCGTCTGCTGTGGGTGTGCCTGCATGACAAATGTGTGAGGTATTTCCAATAAGAGGTCTTTCTTGCTATACAAGGAAGCCACAAGAATGTCTGTGTCTAATGTATCAACAATGTCAACACCACTGTGTTAATGTGGTGAGTCACTTTCTTCCTTTTCTGCCATCCATAGGCCTAATGAACAGCTCTGTTATGATCTCAAGCAGGGAGTTTTTAATTGAAACGTAATTTTAAAGTTACTATCAGTCCAGTTAGTGTCCAACTCACTGTTCTTGAAGCCTCTATCTCTGGTATAATACTTTATGTTAAGGCTGAAACTGGCGTGTAATTGAACTTTGTGAGCTACACCTTAATTTACATATCTGCACATTTACATGACTGCAGTTTCGAGATTATAATTTTGCTTATTTCATTCATTGGCATGTCTTTAATCAAATACTTCCACATATATATTATGTGTATATTTGGTTTCCATGAAAACTGTTTCCTTCTACACAACTGTTCGTCGTTATTCCTGGTGCTTAAACAGAGGCTGTAAAGTGTAACATGAGCCACAAAGTATGTCATGTTGTATTGATTATAGTTGTTCAGCGTGTACAGAATGCTAGTGAGTAAATTCTCCTGCTGCAGTACGTTAATCTCAATGGGGAATTTCAATGTTAATCCCTTTCTCCCTGTGGGGTGGAGTCTTAGGTTGGCAAGGGACTTGGGGACCATGTGGCCAAGGTGGGGGAGATAATCATGGAGGAAAAACATCTATTATTTATGCTCGTCTGTAGCTCAAAGAGCCCAGAGCTGACATATCGAATTCAATACATCAATGCAGTGATGCTGGTTGTTGTGGTCACACGTATGCAGAGGCTGACCTATGTAAGAGATCGAGAAGATAACCGTATTTTTTCAACTGAATCAGTGTGTCTATACAGTAGGCTCTGCCCAAGTGCAATGTCTGTAATGCAAATTCTTTGAATTAATTTTGTTAAAATTCATTCTTCCCTGGGCTTTTGCATCTCTGCCAGGTTTGTGTGAGCAGGGTTCCCAAAAGGCGTGACTAGCTCTTGATGCAGGCACTGGGGCTTAATGTGCCCCCGCGGTGATAAAGGATGGCACCAGCTTTATGCTGCCAGAGTCAAAGGACTGCTTTTTTTCTGGCCGGCTTGACATTAAACGTGGTATCTACCGCTCATAATATTTCTGCTTTTTTGCTTCTTTCCTATTCTCAAATATCATTTCTTTAAACACACACACTATGGCCACGTGCACACCCACATACCAGGCAAACAGAAGCTCAACGTGTTACTGACATCAACGTATATTCTCAACATGGTGCTTTTGCATTAATCAGCAATTTCTTCTTGAATTTGATTATAAGAGCGGGTGACTCTTTTGATAATAAAAAGCACAGACCAAGGCATAAGCAATCGGCTGGCGGCTCATGCATAAACTATGCCAAAGCACTTATGACGCAGAATATTTCCTTCAATATTTCATTTGCACGAGCCACTACTTTTAAAAAACTTTTTCTAACTTTATACCAAACAGATATTTAGGTCACTCTCAATTTTATATTGAAGTGTGTAATTACAGGCAACAAAAGCCTCTATGTTCCTAATTGCTTTGAGTGTTTTTGAGTTATACTCTGAGAAACTGTTGTGGCAATACACACAGATGAGCCATTTACTTCGAGGAAGGAATATAAACAGAATGTATTGACAGTATTCTTCCACTGACGTATTGCTGTCTTCTCATCTTTCTGCAGCAGCGGCCCCAGAAGCAGTCCTTGACTAAATCCTTGTGTCAGGAAACTCACTGGAAATGCCTGCTGCTGTCCCTGCTGATGTATGGCTGCGTCGGGGTGATGGCCTGGTGCCAGGTGACCAAGGTCACACGCCTCTCCTTCGACAGCGCTTACAAGGGAAAGTCTATGATGTACCACGACAGTCCCTGCTCCAACGGCTACATCTACATCCCTTTGGCCTTCCTGGTCATGCTCTATGTGGTCTACCTGGTGGAGTGTTGGCACTGCTACACCAGGAATGAGCTACAGTACAAGGTGGATGTTGACAGTGTGGCGGAGCGCATCCAGCGAATGCAGCAGGCCACGCCCTGCATCTGGTGGAAGGCCATTAGCTACCATTATATCAGGAGGACGCGGCAGGTGACACGCTACCGTAATGGAGATGCCTACACCACCACGCAGGTCTACCATGAGCGAGTCAACACCCATGTGGCTGAGGCGGAGTTTGATTACGGGAACTGTGGGGTTAAGGACATCGCAAAGCACCTGTTGGGTATGGAGGACTTCCCCATCACCAGGCTGAGGTTCACTAAGTGCTTTAGCTTTGCCAATGTGGAGTCAGAAAACTCTTACCTGACCCAGCGGGCCAGGTTCTTCACAGAGAACGAGGGCCTGGATGACTACATGGAGGCACGCGAGGGGATGCACCTGAAGAATGTAGACTTTAAGGAGTATATGATTGCCTTTTCTGATCCTAATCACCTTCCCTGGTACGCAGCCAACTCCTCTTTCTGGGTGGCAGCTGCTTTCACCCTCTCCTGGCCTCTGCGGGTGCTGACAGAGTACCACACTGCCTGTGTACACTACCATGTAGAGAAGCTGTTTGGCTTTGACTATGTGCCAGTAAGCCCGTCTGAGGAGCGACCACATTGCAGACACATCCCACGAGTCAACACGATCGACAGCACGGAGTTGGAGTGGCACATCCGCTCCAACCAGCAGCTGGTGCCCAGCTACTCGGAGGCTGTTCTCATGGATCTGGCTCAGCTCTCAGGAAGCTGTAACAACTACTCCGTATGTGGAGGGTACGGTAGCTACAGGCAGAACTGTGAACGCTGCCACCGTGCCATCAGCAGCTCCTCCATCTTCTCGCGCAGTGCCCTCAGCATCTGCAACACGGGGAGCCCCCGCATCCCCTTCAGCGCCAGCCGCTTCTCGCTGAGTCGGTTGTACGGATCCAGGCGGAGCTGCCTGTGGAGGAGCAGCGGGAGCTTGAACGAGCGGTCCTGCCCCACAGAGAGCACGCACTGTCTGTCAGGTCAGCAGACAAGTGAGGAGAACCCTCCAGCCTACCAGGACGCTCTGTGCTTCCCAGTGCTCATTGTGCATCGCAACGAAGGCTGCCTCAACCACGACCACCGCTCCCTGCACAGAAACGGCTCCTGTGCGGAGACTTCTCTATGACCCGCAGCTGCCAGACTTACCTGAGCATGGGATCTAATGATACAGGAACAGAGTGAGGAAACTCTGTACACCAGGGCTGGGATAACATTGACTTCTGCTTCTCCCTTTTACAATAGACGTAACGTGGTCACCTACAAGTTACCACAAACAAGGATTTTTTTCTGAAGATACAGTAACTAGAAACAGGGAAAGTCCTTACAGTACAGTCAATAAGTCAGAGGAAAAGTTGATGCTGTCGATGAGAGACTGTTGTTTAAATACAATGCGGCTTTAAAGGACCAAATTGCCAAAAAGTTACGTACTGTCCTACCATAAGGATAAGAGTCAAATAACCAAGGAATTCCAAGGGGAGTCACATCCTACTGTAAATGCCATATTTGTAGATCTTAGTCAGAGAAAAGGACATGAGTAATACTTTTACATATTTGGAGCCTAATATGGGTTTTGAAATTACCAAGAAATTGGCAAGAAATGAAAGGGATACAACAATTAACGGACGTCCGAATGAGAAATTAAGAAATATTGAGAAAATCATTGACTCACACATCATGTGAGTCATGGGAATTAGGTGAATTATGAGAGGAAATGCAGGGATATCAGCCTCCTTGTCAAAGCATATACTGTATAACAAGACTAAATATTTTTGCTGAAACAAAATACACGTCTTATGGCTCTGACAAAGTGACGCTAACTTTGGCCCAAATCTAAAATATAAACATCTGCATGTGTAACCTTTTGATACTGGCTGATTTAAATCTGTTCTTTCAAAGTCAATGCTGATGGGAATCTATTTCAAAAGGAACACATTTCCATAGTATAAAAATAATCCTCTGATGCAGATGCTGAAAGATCAAGTTAGCAGACATCGGCTTGACTGCGATGACATTATACTTACTGGCTTTCTAAATATAGCGACACAGTCGATGAATAATTTAGCACAGGAGAGCTAAAGGACACAAGAACTTAAAACTGAATCAACAACACTTCTTCAAACTGTTAATTACTATAAACTGCACATTTTCTATAATGGCCAACTGCAAAGTAATAAACCTCACCATGATATTAATGAATCATTGTCAACTCAGCTAGATTAAAATCTGAAAGCTGTATTAAGTTTAATATTCGGCAATATTTCTATTCAGCCTACCTCCTTATTTAAGTGCCTAGCGATCAACTGTTACTGACGAGCATGAGCCATCGTAACTAAAGTCATCTCATCTCGACATCTTCCTATTAAAACAAGTCTTACACTCATAATAACACACGGTATACAAGGCATAGGAGAAACCTTTTATTATTATGGTTTAAAATACATAAGGTTTTAAGAATCGGGCCCTAAATGTTTTTCAGATGATTCTCCTCATGATATAACACAGCTCTCGTGTACTGCTGCTGCTGCTGCTGCTGATGCATATCAGAGAGACAGCCAGAGAGCTGGCCATCAAAGACGCCAGAAATAGGAAGAGGCCTGGATTCACTACTGATAGTGTCAGATTTAATAATATGACAGGATTACTTTCAAGAACTAAAAAAAAAAAAAAGGCTTCCTCTCAAATGAGTGCGTGCAGTATCTCAGTCACGGTTAATTTTAATTTACTGTCAGGCCATGCACAACAATTAATGTAAAATGGAAACAGAGATGAAAACTTTTCAAACAAATATTATATAGAAGTAGTAACAATTTAGCTCATTTTAACCGTGAAAATAGAGTCGTTTCTGTACGAACAAGTCCTCATCTCACGAGACCTGCAGTGAAAGATGAACTGGAATGGACAGATCATTCTCCACCATTAAGTTCATTAAAACCATTACAACGTCCAAGAATATTAAATATCAGAATCTTGTCCGTGGGCGAACATTGCGTGTTACTTCCTGTTTCAACTCTATCCTTCACAATAATGAGCCTGTACTGTTAAATGGTGACCGATTAGCCACTACTCATTACGTTCCATGTTGAGTTTGGAGTTGCAGACTATCTTTGTAGCAATACTAGAGAACACTCGGAAATTAGTCAAAGGGAGCGAGGCATGATTAAAAACACAGATTTAGCATTGAAACATTCTGTGAACAGTTTTTACAACTCATGGGTCATCTATGCAAGCCCCTCCAACTCAGGATAGTATTCAGGGCAAAGATTCTGCTTTGCAGCAACATCCCAAAACCCGGTCATCACCCCTTTCTCTAAACTTCAGGTTTATTTTGCTTTTCAAAAGGCTTCAGCGAGGATCATAACCGATTTTTAAATGAGAGGTTTGTGAACACAGGATGACGAACCGCACTGACGTTACATTGCTCATGTTCCCATTCCAGATAACAAAGGTGGAGAAGCAGGTGAGAGACAACGGAGCAACATGTTAGATATCTCCAGGATTTTGGTCCCACCAGCTATTCATAAATCCATCTTTAAGTCCTTCTTAAGTTCTTATTAACTACTAGCTAGTATCGGGTTGCACCATTAGAACTTCAGAAATGTCTTAGCGAGTTATTTCGTCATTTCGTGACTGACATAACGTTTTATAAATTGAGGTATATTGAAAGGTATTGAGGTATATTATATGTTTGTGAAATATAATAACAAATTATTCATGCATCATTGTTATGATAGCAAACTTCAATCAAGTGTCAGCTCATACATGTTGACCATATTACCGTTTCAATATAAATAGATCATGTACAGTGTTAGTTTAGCAACAACTTATCTCAACATAAGAAGTAGTTTGTGTGGTGCAACCCATTATAGTTTAGCAATGTGTAAATCTCCACTTAGTAAATATTTATAACATGGAGATGTTTGAACTTATGACCAGCTGGGGCAACCGACTCCAGGTCCTGGTATTCGTGGCACTTGTGTATTTAGAACACTCTCTTTGATTGTTGAAGAAATAGTTTGTATATAGAGACATACATTTGGGGAAATACACTTTTTTGCCTTCTTGAAGAGAGTTTGATGAGGAGATGAATACCACTTTGATGTCTGTACATTTAATATGACGCTCCCACCAGCAGCGGGTTAGCTCAGCTTAGCATAAAGACTGGAAACAGGGTGAACAACACGTTTTATCTAGTTTGTTTTACCTGAACAAAAACTGAAACGACAAGTTGTTATTTTACGCAGCTCGTTGGCTGTATGACATCAGCAGACAGATGACAGTGGTATTCAGCTTCTCTTCTAACCCTCATAAAAATTAAAATAAATAAGCGTCTTTTCCAAAATTGTCAAACTCTCCCTTTAATGGTTAATGGATGGTGTACTACGCAACCTTTTTGAGCAACATGAATAGCATTTTAGCGGGAAACCAAATTACACACAGGGATTGAAATGAACCCATTAATCATTAATTCATTTTCTCCTAAAAGGCTGGATCATATCCCAGAATGCATTGGTCAGAAGTCAGAGAATTATGTAATGTCCATGTACTGTGAGGTAAAGTGTAAGCATAAGGAAAACCACAAGGAAGAGCATGTAAACTCCACAAGAGATGTAAAATCTATTAAGAGTATGATTTGGGATTTAAGTCACTGTTTTATACTGAAGTCATCATCGCATTCTCTCATTCATGGTCAGCCTACAAGCCCCTCGGATAGCATCACTGTGATCCATACATAGTCATGTGTAAGAATAGAAAATGTGTTTACCGGTGCAATGTTTACATAACAACAGTGACATTCAAAACAGTTACAAATCTGTCTGGAAGGTTCATAACTAGACATTTTTCCTCCATAGACGAGCATAAAAGCTTCTGTCATGCAAAGCACTCGACCCTTCATCATGTGTATTTAGTGGATTAGGTAGTTTTGATATGTACTCTTTCACTCGAGAATGCTCTGGGGTTTGTCTTTTTGTACTCAAATGATTTTGTGGATTTTCAAGACTGTAGGGCAGAAAGGATTTGTACTGTAAATAAAATAGAGGCGAGAGGTTAGAATGACTGTTGGTGTGGATCTAAGCTGAATGTGTCGTGCACACTTAGGTAACTGAAGCAGGGATATTTTTGATGTGCAGATGTTAAATGCTGGGTTTGTTAAGTCACAAATGGCAATACAATCCTTTGTAAAAGGTTTCAGGCAACACAGCCAACAGAATCTTTTTGCTGCTTCTTATATACTCTTTTGAATGATGTATGTTGCCCTTAAACCCATTTTTACATTTTTTAAATCATATTTGGTACACCTTTATTTACCTGAAAATGTCAGAAGGGTTTGAGTGATTTAGGATCGGGTGCACACACAGAACGGTTGTGTGAGTATTGATAATGATTACTGATCTGAAGAATATCAGTATTCTTTCGTATGTAGATTGATATATGTGCTGGTCCAACATCAACTTACAGAATAGCCTTGCCTCTCTTCATATGATTATAGAAAGCAACTCGTGATTTTGCAAGTAAAGATGTGTTTTTTGCTACCTGGCAAAGGTGTTACAATTATATTATTAATCTGTAGATATAGGTTTTAAAAACAACAACACAAATCTGTATGTATTCCAACTCCACCACAACGTTGCCTTGATGTTTAAGGAGTTAAAACCAAATCTGTGTATCAAAATGAAAACAAAAGGCTCCTCAATAAACGGAATTGCTCACTGAAATATGTGTCAATTGCTTCTTTGTGTTGTTCATTATGAGATTCTTCCCGTAACTGGAGAGGTCTTTGTTTCTGTGCTTGTACTTTTTTACTTGCGTTGTTTAAAGTTATAGTTCCTATATGAGCTGCAACATGATGACAGAGACATCCCTGTGTGAAATCATATCATTTTTATTGTACCAATTATCTGTGGACATCAGAAACATACACATAAAAGCTGACAACTTAATGTAGTAAGTTTAGATACATCTTTCCTCAACACTTACTATGAACAATATGCTGTATTCTTTTAAAAAAATCAGTCGTGGCCATGCTCTGTGGCTAAATGAATAAGGTAAAGCAGGAATCAGTGACTAGTAAAGATGGGTTCATACTTCAAAAAGAATTTGTTGATGTTTACTTGGTTTCGCTCTGTCGAGCGTGTCTCTTTTGCTCTGAACTCTGGTTGGTCCAAACCACCTGGTTGATGGAGGAAGCGCTCTGCTCGTCAACCTCCGTCAGACGGATATCACATTCTGTCACGCTGGTGTTGTGGGACATCGCCTCCCCGAGAGCTATACCTCCATCCTGCACACACACAGGGAGAGAGATTGGAAAAACAACACATTTGGTAGCGATGCATGTCCATGTTGAACACATCACATGATGCTGTTCTGAAGAGGTCTGAAGACAGTCTTGATAACCTTGAAAAAGAAATCACCCCTCGGCAACTCTAGCTGTCTGAAAAAGCCCACACTCTCTAAACTGCTTATTGTGAGTGTTATCTCTGCTTTATTGTTGTGTCTGAAAAAGGCATTTCTATTTTAGTGAAGAGTATAGACCAAGGTCACAGATATTGATGATATTGCACAGCGCATTTCTGCTATGTGGGTGATTTTTGATCCTCCGCAGTGTATTCCAGTCAGACATATACTGTACGGTGAAATCATGTATAGGAGGGAGCATGAGAAGGGCGGGGATAATCTGATCTGCCTCTCACGGGGAAACAACACTTACTTAGCTTTCCATTATTGTGTGTTTTCCACACATGTCTATGAATAATTGAAAAGCCTTATCCTTTCAAGCTATTCTGTCTGTTACTTCATGGTACTATCTCTGCAGGCACTAGCATGCTTTGGGAAGGAAATCCAGTGTTTCAAAAGAACCACTTGCTGTGCACATTATGATCAAAGAAACACATTTTAAAGGATAACTTGCAATGCTTTTGTTCATATATTTATTTTGCCTCCACTTAGGAAAAATAGACAATTCTCTATATCTTTACAACTATTGGATGTAGGACTTTTTACATTGTTGAGTAATCTGACAGTTACTTTCTCAATTAATCTGGTCTGTAAAATGTAATAAAGTTGTGAAAATAGAGAGCCTTAATTGACATATTTAAACAGCTTGTTTTGTCCGATCAACAGTCCAAAACCCAACCAAAACATTCATTTTATCATAATAACATTTTCAAACAATATTTTAGATGATAGAATCGGTTAGGTTTTGTTATTTTGGCTTAAAAATGACTTAAATGATCAATTTTCTAATGAACAACTAATCCTTTAACAGAGTAATCATTTCGATGCAATGCCATGACATTTGGCACACACATACATGATCTCCAGAGTTTGAAGTCTAATGACTGTGGTGAAGCGCAGCTGAAGTTAAACAAAATACATGTTTATGCGACATTAGTGCAAAATTAAGTAAACTGAGTCACCAATGTCCTATAATTGCCACTTTACAGTTGGAACCCTTATATCAGTAACAATATGGCCTTTTCTCTGGCACCACCCTCAGGTAAAACATTATATTTAGTGTCCCACTGTTAGTAAGGATCTAGAAATAGCAATTTACTTACCACGCCCAGGTTGTTGCAGGAGAGATTGATGCTCTTCAGGGTGTTGTTCTGAACTAGAACCTTGGACAGTGCGATGGCAGTAGGCCCTGTTACCTGATTGGCTCCCAGGTGCAGGTGAAGCAGGGTGCTGTTGTTCAGCAAGGCCTTGCCAATAGCCTGACCCCCCTCATCTCTCAAACAGTTGAGACGCAGGTTGAGTGACAAAAGGGTGGAGTTCACGGACAAGGCATGAGCTATGGCTTTAGCTCCCGGGCCTCTAATATTGTTGTCACACATGTTCAGGGTCTCCAGTTTACTCCTGGTGAGCAGCTTGCCGATGGCTCTGGCTCCTCTGTCTCCGATCAGGTTGTGAGAGAAGTCGAGCTCCCTCAGGGACGGGTGGTCCAAAAGGTAGTTCACCAGCAGCCGGCACTTTTTATCCTCAATGTGGCTTTGGTGGAGCTTCAGAAGCTGTAGAAACAAAATATTATGACGATTAGCAGGATTAAATATCTAAATATCTTTTGGGTTTTGGACTGTTGATGGGACACTAAAGCAGTCCGAAGAGTCACCTGGGAAGTTATGGTGGGCATTTTTCCATATCTTCTGAAATGCATTAAGTGAAAATAAAATCAACAGATTAAACACTGAGTAGATGCAGCCCCAATAATCTCTTGGACCGTTCTGATATCATGCACAGAAATCAGTAGCAGATATATTCCATGTTCTCGTGCAGTAGTAAACTAATGTGACAAAACTTTTGTGTCAAAGAGTGACTTATTTAGGTTGCAGCCAGAGGCTGTGCTGTCTTTTCTTTGATGTAAATAGAGCATGAATCGAATGCTTGGGTAGTGCCAACAACAATTTTCCTGTTTCATGACATTAGGGACTGTAAAATGTCTGTCAATGATGCTTTGTAACTGGCAAGAAAGACAGACGTGCTGAATTACAAGAAACAAACATAGTCCATATAGTCAGGCTCTACAAAAGGCATCAAGCCATAAACCAGTGAGGAGCAATCAATATTCACCTTCAAAGTCTTACAGGACTTAAGGGCCTTGGCGAGGGACTCACAATCTCTGTCGGTCATCTCAAACATCTTCCATTCAAAGTTCATTCCACATTGTTTCACCCTGTACACTAAATGGAGCTCTTCCAGTTGTGTCAGCTTGTTGAGCAGGATGTTAAAGTCAAAGTGGTCCATAGACGGTCTGTCGTACTCAGTGTCACATGTCAACTTTGACCCATCCTCCTCCTCCTGGGGCTCCTTGATAGGTGGCAGGAATTGGGAGATGTCCAGCCTCTTGACATAGTTCTTACAAAGAGGTACCATCTCTAGAACCGTCTTCGGCTCGGTTACATCTGGGATAAAAAGCTCAATAATGTTCTCCATGTGCCTCTCAAGGAACATTCGTTTCCAGCTGTGGCCATAATGAGCGAGGTCACAAATGTCCCACCGCTGCTCGCAGCACCGCTTCCAATAGACGCCATCGCTGATCAGGTTGGCTGTCACGTGCAGAGGCAGGGAAGTAGACAGCGTCTCCTGCACAAAGTCTTTGTGGATAGGCGAAAGTTCTTCAAATATGGGCTTTTCTGCAAAACAAAGTTTGCATAAAGTTGCATTTATTTTACAAGTAAGTGTATAAAAGTCTGTATAATAATGGTACTAAAAACAAGAGCATACCCTCAATGTTTCTCACAATGCTTTTCAGACAGAGGTTTGATAAACAAGGCACTAGAGTCAGCTGCCAGTCTGGATCTTCAGCAATGATCCTCCTCCACCTTCTGGAGTCTTTAGCTGTGGCTGCAGGGGGAGTGGACCTGGACATTGTTGCAGGGTTTTTGTACACTGTCCTCTGGTTAAAAAGAAGTAACATTACATTACACATTAAAAGTGGCACATCCTAACAATCCGTTGATAGCGGATAGCAGTCCCTTCACACAAAAGTTAGCTAAACTGCGACTAGTTTACTACAAGTGCTGTCGTGAATCGTTGACAGACCTGGAATAAATTGGTATTTTTGTTGTTGTTTTATAACACTTAACGTTAGTTACATAAGCACAACTCAATGTAAGCCTGTCTACCTGTACTGCGCCGGTCTGGGCTTCAACCGTCTCCTTGGTCACAGAACGCTCTCAGTCTACTTTGTGAACCTCGGAAATATTGCGCACGCAGCCTTGAAGTTATCTTACGGCAAAGAGCGGTTTACCTCGCTAAACATGCTATAACTAGCTAAAAGCTTTTGGCATTTACAGTGTTTAGAGGACATTAATGAAGTGAACTTTTGATAACACAACGTTGAGAGATAGCGAGTTCCCTTGTCGAAATTTTGTGTCAACACTATCTCTGCATATATTTTACTGTCATAAACCAGAATTTCCGACATTCATGGAACGCACCTCAATGGTTGACCCACAGACACAACACTAGTGAATGTATCGTGCTATCTATGTGAAAGTAATAATCATATCATTAAATGATTATTATATATTTTGTAGAAAACCTTTGTGAGGATATAAACTGCGTAACTTCCCCGCAGGCACTATAAACACGATGAGAAAAAAATGTTTTCCAAATACCAATTAATTATATTAATCAGGAATCCCAAACTACCTTCAAGGCATTGGTATCTATTAATTATTAAATGCAGGAATAAAACAGAGCTGCCTGGGGAAGACCACAACATTATGATTACAGTGTAAACAGTGTGACTCACTTACAGTAATATTCTAACGGTTGGACAAAAATGAGAACATTGATGAGTACTGAGTACGTGTGTTTTTAGGGGTATCAGTGTTGCACGAGGCGGTGTGCTGGAGATGCTGCAGTGTTTGTCCTGATCATGCTATGAGGAAAATTTGGACTCTACAAAGCTGGCAGATGGACCTTTGGATAAGAGCATATTGGAGTGAATCCATCTTCTGCAACACAAAGCAGGTGCAATGTAGGAGAGTAAGAATCAGTAAATAGCCCCGTAAAGGAGTCCTGACTGTTATTAAATAACACAGAAATGAAGGGAAATGTACAGTAAATATGTTTCCTATCCCCAACCAAATCTGTTGTTATTGTATGCATGTAAATTATGAGATAAATTCAAATTCAGTAGAACTACATAGAACACACAAGTCAAGACTGGTCATTAGGATATGCATGTATATTAAAATACATATTATCTATTTAGCTACATAACATAGATTTGTAAGTGCATCAGTGGAAGATGCCCCAAAAAAGATTTCTTGAAGAACATTGTCTGAATGTAGGAGGATGTACTTTTGATGGATTATAATGATGTAATATTTTGTTAGGGATGTAAATAACACCATTTTTTATTATCAATTAATCTTTAGATTATATTCTAGATTTGTATTCCCATTTAAAAAAACTCCAAAGATATTAAGTTTACTATAATATGGCAAAGAAAAGCATCAATTCTGCACATTTAAGTTGCATGAACCAGTGACTTTGAAAACATGACTGAAACACTAGCCGCCGATTTATTTTTCTGTCTATCAGCCAATCCCTTCTAAGCTCAAACTACTTTCATCAATTGCGTAATTGTGTAACATTTTCACATGACCACACATGCATGGAGGCAGGTAGAAAATGCAGCAATAACTGATTGTGTTTCCCCATGTGGAGGGCAGAGAGAGCGAAAGAGAGACAGAGGGAGAGAGAGACAGAGAGAGAGAGAGACAGAGAGAGACAGAGAGAGAGAGAGCAAGAGAGAGATGGATGGATGTTACTGACATCAAAAGGTTGCTCCAAGAGTCGGGATGGAGGGTTGGACGGAGAGACTCCGACTGTAGCCCCGAGGCAGTCCATCACTGTCGTCCTCATGTAATACAGCCTGACAGACACACGCTTCTCTCCTACTCTGGCTTTAATGGACTGGCGTGACATTAGCCATCCACAGCGCAAGAGGGAAACTCCCCCATGTGAGCTGCTGTTCCAGTGCACTCTGGGTAGAGTCAGTGTGAAAAAACACAAAAAACATCAATAGTTATAACTTTAAAGTCTGTTACAGGAATTAACTGCAGTTTATCAGCTGCAGTTAATTCCAATAGTAAAGTACACCGTAGCCAGGTGAGGTTAAGTAGAGCTTTCCAATGAACACGCCTTTTTGACAGCAGACATTTTGACTTGTCATGGCGGGAAAAACACAGGTTGCTAAAAAACAGTATAAACCATAAAGCCATGACAGTGTGAGAGTGAGCCAGTATGAAGGACATACAGTACAAGGACCATAAAAACAAAGCAGCTAAATGGAATCCAGCCATTATTCATTTTATTTTTTTACACTGCACTCTTCCTACTGTGACATCTTGTAATATCTCCTGATAGAAAGAGAGAAACACGACGAACTAAACTCTAAACACCAAAATTACATAATTCTTCTCCGCCATTATTAGGAAATGAAAAGGTTTGGATGTTATTAATAGTGTCATAAAATAACCTGATCGTGCAGCAGGATATTTTCTCACACATCTTAAGTGCAGGGTATTTCATATAGAGTATCGAATATTGATTATTTAATAATTCAAGCTCATAGTCCTCTGGCTGTTGCGGCCTCACAGCAGCAAAAGCAGAGAGGATTTACAGAGAACAGCAGCAACATGTATCTACAGTGGGAGGACGGAGTGCTTCACCTTGCTGCTGAGGCCGGTGTCATCACACTTCCATTTGCTTTCTGAGCCCAAGGAGATGTTGCATTAGTTGCTAGGAAACACAGCATGTGTGTAGGTACCAAAAGACAGAAGGATTTTTACAAAATGAAGTTTCTTTCCAAAGATGTAAAATCAATTTTTAAACACGCGACACCCACTCCAGTAGTGATCGTTGACATGGAGATCTAAATGTGTAATGTCGACGTTGATGATCATAACTTATATTTTCCAAATTGCATTAACTTTACAGGAGTAACATAAGAAAAAAAACGTTTTATAAATGATACCCTTTGCTGTATTTTGAATGAAACTTGATTGACTGAAGAAAATTGCCTTAATTTAATAAAAGATAAACAAGCTTACAACTCTGTCGTCAACATAAAGTGAACTTACTGAACATTTATCACTTTATCTTGTGAGATGAAAGCATTCAGTTGCTTGTGTGTGTGTGCGCGTGTGTTAGGAGGACCAGCATGATGCGAGGTAAACTCTGGAGTGTTGCCAAAGGGAGGGATTAATGTTCGGACCCAGGAGCCTTTCAGCAAAGCACTACAGCTCCTGTGCCAGGCGAGGCAACTCCCAGATGGGCAGAAAGCATCGCTCAGTACCGCTGAAGGAAACGTTAAATAACAACGATGAACTAAACGCAAACCTCTTTGGTGGATCAGAACGTTTGGCCACGTTTATGGAATTACAGTATTGTCACATTACTCATCATTTTTCTATGTTGGTCTAATTTAAAAAGAAGACTTGGCCGGTTGTTCCTAGATTAAGAGATTAAGGGAAATCCACCTCTTGAACCACAAAAATAATGGATTAAAGGAGCACACCAATAGTTTGCATGTTTTTGGTAATTTACTGTAACTCATGTATTCCTGAAGTGGTAGTTTTCAGAGTATACTGTAACATTTTCACCTTTAAAAAAAAACAAACGCAAACTGAAAAAGCAAAGTAGACAATGTCCGACAAAGCTATTAGTAGTTTGCAGATACTTTGTCTGACTTCATCATGAATGCTTTAGCTGCATTGCTGTCGTGTGCTAACAGAGTAGCGAGTGATCAGCTCTTTTCAAGCTGAATGACACATTTTCCAAGAAACGTATGAGCACATCTCTGGTAAACACAGTTTTAATGTGGTGCTTTTGTGCGATTCTTTGAGGAACTCAGTTTTACAGATTTGTTCAATCAACTAATCGATTAGTCGACAAAATCGTGTGAGTGTCAGTCGATATCTTTGGCCCCCCTCCTTCGGATATTCAGTCTGGACCGACCCACAGAGCGGGACAGTCACCTATACAGTGGCTCAAAACAAAAACACTGGTTTGATCCTTTCGCTCCCAGCAGAGGTTTGTTGTCTAGCTGCCATTCTCCGTCTCTCTGATAAAAAGCCAAACTTTCAACAGCCACAACTTCCCAAGTCAGGCGTCACCAAACATTTGTACTATTTGTAGTAAATGGGACTTTTCAGGTTTGAATCAATGCTTGGACAAAGTCAACATGTGACTGTAAAAGTGCATAGGAAAAAAACTTTATTCCTCTTGTTGAAAATAAAGACAAAAAGACATCTGATGACTTCACAAAAACAAAAATCTGGTTAACGGACTCATGATGAGATCAAATGTGTCTATCTGAGAACAGTCCGGGGGTATGGAAACATCAACACCAAAATAAGTACCAATTCCCTCCGGAGAAAAGGGCCTAATCCTCAGACTCATCAGCACTTTCATCAAAGTCACCACAGTAGGGCGGACTGGAGTCCAAGTGGATGCTACTGTCTGTTTCCAAAGAGACCACAGAGCTCAGGATACTGTCGATGGACACCATGCTGCTGTCGCTGTCGCTGCTCCTGCTGCTGTCGTCATCGTGGATCACCATCACCTGGGCAGAGTCCGCTATTGGAAGGAAAGAAAAACAAAGAAAAACAGTGAGAGATTCTCTCCGCAAACATTTCAAAGCGCCACTTTCAAGTCCTTTACGTGCCGACTGTAAATAAGCTTTATTCTGGACCGTCAACAAACTCCGTGAAGAGATTAAAACCAACAATGCGTCGGTTCCTCTCTCAATACTTTTTGACTTCACTTCCCCGTCTGTGGCTCTCTGCCCAAACCACATGTGATGCCACTGAAGGGTCACAAAACTGTAGTTTCACTTTTCAAAAAGGCTGGCCACTTTTCAGCAAACATTACTCACACAGGCGTAAAAATAGTGTATTTGATGGGGAATATTTTCCAGTGCGGACGACTACACATTTAAAATATAGAAAATCACCTTTATCGTGGACTTTATGAATCTAGGGGGAGAACATATGTGATATCCCCAACGCTCAAAGCCTTTGTGATTTACCAAAACAAACATTCAAACAAATTTTCAAATGACGAAATGTTTTGAGAGTCAGGAACGACCAGCATGACTGAGATCAATCAGACCACAGTCCACGCTCAAGGCTCGGGGTGAACAAGGGTCATGCTCTTATTGTTTTAGTTACTACAAAATAAAAGAAATATTCCCCTCAGTATCTTATCAGCTGAACCAGTGCCACATTTTAAAAACCTCCCCGTATAGACCAGCATTGGGTTTGTTGTTTGTATTTTATGTTATTGAACTTGTTGTATACAGTTGTGTGAAAAAGTGTTTGCCCCCTTCCTGATTTCTTATTTTTTTGCATGTTTGTCACACTTAAATGTTTCAGATCATCAAACAAATTTAAATATTAGACAAAGACAACACAAGTAAACACAAAATGCAGTTTTTAAATGAAGGTTTTTATTATTAAGGGGAAAAAAATCCAAACCTACATGGCCCTGTGTGAAAAAGTGATTGCCCCCCCCCCTGTTAAAACATAAATTAACTGTGGTTTATCACATCTTTGGAAAGCTGAGTTCAATTTCTCTAGCCACACCCAGGCCTGATTACTGCCACACCTGTTCTCAATCAAGAAATCACTTAAATAGGACCTGCCTGACAAAGTGAGGTAGACCAAAAGATCCTCAAAAGCTAGACATCATGCTGCGATCCAAAGAAATTCAGGAACAAATGAGAAACAAAGTAATTGAGATCTATCAGTCTGGAAAAGGTTACAAAGCCATTTCTAAAGCTTTGGGACTCCAGCGAACCACAGTGAGAGCCATTATCCACAAATGGCGAAAACATGGAACAGTGGTGAACCTTCCCAGGAGTGGCCGGCCGACCAAAATTACCCCAAGAGCGCAGCGACGACTCATCCAAGAGGTCACAAAAGACCCCAGAACAACATCCAAAGAACTGCAGGCCTCACTTGCCTCAATTAAGGTCAGTGTTCATGACTCCACCATAAGAAAGAGACTGGGCAAAAATGGCCTGCTGGCAGAGTTCCAAGACGAAAACCACTGCTGAGCAAAAAGAACATAAAGGCTCGTCTCAGTTTTGCCAGAAAACATCTTGATGATCCCCAAGACTTTTGGGAAAATACTCTGTGGACTGACGAGACAAAAGTTGAACTTTTTGGAAGGTGCATGTCCCATTAAATCTGGAGTAAGAGTAACACGGCATTTCAGAAAAGGAACATCATACCAACAGTAAAATATGGTGGTGGTAGTGTGATGGTCTGGGGCTGTTTTGCTGCTTCAGGACCTGGAAGACTTGCTGTGGTAAATGGAACCATGAATTCTGCTGTCTACCAAAAAATCCTGAAGGAGAATGTCCGGCCATCTGTTCGTGACCTCAAGCTGAAGCGCGCTTGGATTCTGCAGCAGGACAATGATCCAAAACACACCAGCAAGTCCACCTCTGAATGGCTTAAGAAAAACAAAATGAAGACTTTGGAGTGGCCTAGTCAAAGTCCCGACCTGAATCCGATTGAGATGCTGTGGCATGACCTTGAAAAGGCGGTTAATGCTCGAAAACCCTCCAATGTGGCTGAATTACAACAATTCTGCAAAGATGAGTGGGCCAAAATTCCTCTACAGCGCTGTAAAAGACTCATTGCCAGTTATCGCAAACGCTTGATTGCAGTTGTTGCTGCTAAGGGTGGCCCAACCAGTTATTAGGTTTAGGGGGCAATCACTTTTTCACACAGGGCCATGTAGGTTTGGATTTGTTTCCCCCCTTAATAATAAAAACCTTCATTTAAAAACTGCATTTTGTGTTTACTTGTGTTATCTTTGTCTAATATTTAAATTTGTTTGATGATCTGAAACATTTAAGTGTGACAAACATGCAAAAAAATAAGAAATCAGGAAGGGGGCAAACACTTTTTCACACAACTGTATATGGCTGTGAAAGGTGCCATGGAAATGACGTTTACATACCTAATTACCTTCAATTTATCCACTGTGTTTCTATATTCTGTTCAATAATCTTGATCAAATTTGCAAAGTGCACATTCGTCATATTCTTTCACCGTTGTTTATCGAGGGAAAGCAAGCTCAATATGAGACCCATCTCACCTAATATGCATAGTAGCAGCATTTCAATGCTAAATACTGCTTTTTATGTTGCATTACATTTTATTTCAACAGTCCTTTTTTACATGTTTCTAAACTAATATCATAAAACAGAAAAAAAACATGAATCAGCCTCATTGTACTGCCACCTTGTGTTTGAAATTCTCACTGTGGACCGCCCACTTTCCCACTCCACCAACAAGCATATTATCTAAAATCATCTATTAAGCCGAGACAAACAGAAGCAGTGAGTGTAATTACTCTTTAAACTCTTCGTAAACCACATTTGTTGTCGAGCCTCCGAGCAGCTTCACCACACCGGCCGAGGGTGGAGCACTTTGCTCAAGGACTCCACCGTGTTTACTGCTCAAGGCGAGAGGAACATTAGTTACTGAGCTCACCCAGACATGTCAAGGCTCTCCAGTCATTTGACGTGATGAATGTGGCACAGCACACCATTGATAGTAAGTACAGTGTCAGTCAGATATTAATGCTATGTGGGTCATCCACGAGTGTGATCCTGATGTTGAGTCCGCTACACCACTGGCACATGCTGTAGTCTGATGTGTGTTCTGTAACAAATCCTAGAAACATAATGTCCGTATTACTGCTGCAGGTTTGGGACTAGGGCAGGGTCAGAAAGTTAACATATTTCATTTAAATTGAATTCGTATGGTAAAAAGTTGTCAAATTGAGGCAATTTTACAGTGTTTTAGTACAACAAAACCTTACATTTTTTTCAAAATATAAGCACATTTTGTGTCAAGTATTTAATACTTTTAACTGGTGCATATTTTGTCCAATTTCATTTGATATACTTCCCTCAGACACAAGAATTGCACTAGATAATAACATAAAGAGGTAATAAACATGATCAGTCAAATGTTATACTCAATATGCGACCTGGGAAACTAAATGTTAGACGCCATGATGGTATATTATTGAACTTCTCCCTGTTTAATAAATCGTGTTCTCACTGTACAAAAGCCCCAACATCGTAGTCTTTGAGTTGTTTGTATTTTACATATTTTTTTAATATTTAAAAAATAAAGTAAACTGGTTCTTATTATGTCTGACTTGCTCGCGTCTTTTAATATTTAGCTTTTTATTGATTTGTTTCTCTTTAAAAAAAGTTTACCGCCGCCAGGCAGAGCTCTCTATATTTTGCAGAATACCAAACTTGTGGCATCTCTCAATGGAAGCGATTATTTTTACACCACGCGCCCAGAGCTAAAGGAGGCAGCACGGAGCAGCAGCAAATCCCAGGACCCAGAAGAGTTTCTGGAATGGATGCTCCATATAAATAAGAAACTTACCGTACAGAAAGATAAAAAAAAAAAAGACAGCAATCGACGGCGAGGACAAGCGTGATCACCGTGGGTAGACGCTGCGAGCTCAGCTGGCAGGCAATCTCACTGCCCGAGGAGAGACAGAAGTCCTGCACTCCATCTTTAGCTGTTGGATACTAATGCCACTGTTGATAACGCACCTCTCACCTTTCCTCTCGGTGATGAGGGTCTGCCGCCTCGACTTCATGTCCAGGCTCAAGTTCTCCACCATGCTGTCGATGCAGTTGTCCAAAGCCAGACAGCGAGTCTGAGATTGGATGGCCTGTCGGCAGATGGGACACTCGTCTTTCTTCTTGCGCCACTGCTGGATGCAGTGTCTGCAGAAGCTATGAGCGCAGTTCAGGATGACTGCCTGTAGACAATATCAGTAGAGATCAAAACAATGTTACTGTAGAGGCATTCATGTTCTGAAGTTGTATCTGTTCTGCTCATTTTCAAGACCGTGCTTGATTAACTCTTGATCCTACCTCAATGAAGAGCTCGGAGCAGATGATGCACTGAAGCTCGTTCTCCAAAACTTCAGTCACTTGTGTAACTACTTCCTCCTTTTGGGCCCTCTCCTTCTCTTTCTCCTCCTGCAAAAATGTTTTAAATAAATGAATAAAGCTCTGCTGATGCCATGCCAAACAATACAAATATGATGCTCGGATGACTATGAATGTCGTCACACCTTTGTCAACTCCAGCTCTTTGTTTTTGGCCAAGAGAATCTCTTCAAAGCCTTCCCGAGAAAGGGCAAGTTCGTCGATTACTTTCTTTTGCTTTGGATGTTGAAAAAGTAAAAAGAATATATTTGAACATGTTTATAGCTACATAACATTTTTGCATAATAAATATTGTGTCTGGTTAGAACCATCATACCTCTTGCAAGGCCTCTTCCAGCTGCTTTTTCAAAAGCTCCTCTTGCTGCTGTGTTTTCTGCGCCTAAATACATTAAGGGTTCATTAAAGAGAGTATTTAGTAAAAAATATACACGAAAAAAAGACGACAGTGTTGGCTTATATATTAATAGACAAATATGATGCATACCTCGCAAATGTTTTTAGAAGTAAACAACTATATTGTTTCACATCCCATGTATGAAAGGAGTTACTGAGACACCTCTCACCTCGAGCTGCCTCTTGGTTTTACTGAAGGACTTCTCTAACGTCTCCATCCGGTGCATCTTGGCCCTGAGCGTCTCCAGCTGGCCCTGCAGCTCCCTGACATGCTCCTCTCTGAGAGGGTCGGCCTGCCGCGGCTCTCCCCCCAGAGAGGCTACTTGCCTCTGGGTGTTGTCCACCTGCTCCCTCAGCCTCAGGATGTTCTGGCTGTACCTGCAAAGGGAACTTTTATTTTTCTAACCTTTTGTTTTGCTTTTTTCAAAAGACTGCAATTGACTCATCTTTCGGAACACAAAAGATGTCAAATGTAATGATAATATACATACGCGAGGCATAAACTTACATCTGCAAGTTGTCCAGGTCACAGGGAGTGTTGGAGCCATCTGAGCGCCGGTCTACTTCCTGGACTTGTCTGCTGGACCCAGTTTCCTCTAACTGAGAGTGACTGAGCCTCTGCTGCCGAGGGCAGGGCTTTGCAAAGGTCTTGTCTGCAGAAGAGCAGCGGTAGAGCTTGGGCTTCGAGGTAGACGGCTCAACTTCTTCCACGGCCAACTTCCTCTTAGGCTTCTTGGAGACGAGGGCCGCTTTAGCGCCTTCTTTATGTCCCTTCGCCAAGTAGTGTTTAATGTCTTTGAAGGGCCGCTGGACGAAGATGTAGTCAAACTCCACTTCTGTTCCAATTACGGGAACCCCGAGTTGTATGGAGTCCCCGAGCCTCAGCTGATGGGACACTTCAACGGGAATACGGTTTCCATTCACCCACACCCCGTTGAGACTCTGAGGGAAAAACAAGCAATACTTTCTTTATCAGCCGCAATTGAATATAATATTCAGAAGCAAAGAATATCAAGAACATAATACCACTTTATTAGTGTCACCTAAAAGTGTTTTAATTGACAGTTTCAGGGATTTTAAGGACTAGACTACAGACTCACAAGCTCAACATGCACGAAAGAAAGAAAGGTCCTTTCTTATAATTTTCTAGTCTATTGTTTATTTTACACGTTATAATTTGATAGGTAACATTTGTAACGTTATTTATATTGAGCTAAACCTATATAATATAGAGAGAGCAATCTTACCTTTCTGTCTGTCACTGTCCACTGTCCATCTTCCCTCTGTCTGATGGTACAGTGCAGCCTGGAGATCATCAGAGGACAACTTGGAGACAGCAGCTGGTGGGTCACATCCAGACCACGTCCTATGGAGATCTGGATCAGAAACAAACACACATGTCAATCAGCCTGTTAGCTCCTTTATACTGTGCAGCTTAATAAAACATAAAACATTAGATTCGGTACACTTCGATAACGACTTGTTAACCAAAAAAACAACAATTAATAAGGAATATATTTTATTTGGTGAATTGCAAACTTGAGCAAGTTTTAGGGGAACTCAATATAGAGCAAATGGAGCTAGCTGCCTAGCATTAGCAAACTGCACCTCAGTGTTTGCGAACAAGCGAAGCCAGTCTGAGTTTCTTCCGACTCTCATCAAACACAAAACCTCTGAGTCTGAACAGTCGTCCTCCTCGACCGCAGACGAATCCGTCGTTACAGTCTCCATCTTATCTCATTCTGTCAGCGGCTAATACGACTTGAAACTCATCGTTAACAGTGTTGTTCCTACATAGCTAAACGTTGTACTACCGTGTCAAGGTGGAGATTGGCAGGACGAAACCGGAAACCGCTGTGTTTGTTTTCAAAATAAAGGCGTTAGATGAGGTTTAAGCTGAACCGATCATTAAATATGAACATTTTTTCAAAATATAACATTAAGTGATTGATCTTGCTTTTTTCAGGCCTAGAAAAAGGCCTGAATACTGTCCAACACACCTATTGCAATAAGCGCATATTCAGAATAAGAATCTGAATTTGTGTGTGAAATTAATTTATACTTATAATTTCATAATGATGTGATACTACGTCATTATTTTGAGATAGTATCTTATTATAATGACTTACAGGATCTTTACTTTTTCCTCAAAGTGGCGGAAATGGGCTTCCATATAAACTATCTAACTTACACGATGATTAAAAATAACGATTGCGCCTTTGAATTAAACAACCATTTTTGTTTACGTCTGCAGCAGAGCTTCTCTTCTTATTTAAAGTCTATGCCAACAACACGTTTACGACACAGACGTCCTGTTACCGTCCGCTCGAGCGACCCCGCGTCCCGAAACGTGCGCACCGGAGCTCCGGGCGGGACTTCCTTTCTCTTGCGGATGCGATATCGGATGTGAGCAGGCAAGAAAGGGCTTGGTCCGGGTATCACTGGTGTGTGAGTGTGTGTGTGTGTGTGTGTGTGTGTTTGTGCGGCTCTGGTACAGCAGAGAACCGGGGCTGACGACGCCGCTGCAGCAGAAGCCTCGTAGATGAACCTCGTCCCCGGCTATGCTGCCCTGAGAGCATCCGCCCCGCCAACATGTCTGAAGTCAACAAGACTATTCAGAAATGGCACGCCAGTTTCAAGAAAGGCACAGACTTTGACTCGTGGGGACAATTAGTGGAGGCTGTAGATGAGTACCACATGTAAGTTGCATTCAACATGTGTATCGTGCCTCTCCACGCAGCGTGGTTTATCCCGGGCGGCATGCTTATTCTTGCAACGTGCAAAGGAGATAACAGACAGTAGGCTGCATGGTGCTTCGCAAGAAGTTCTCGCCTCCGAGCTGTCAAGTCAGCTCCTCACAGCAGTAAACAAACCGCGTCCATGACGTGATGTGGCGGTGGTTGCAGAGGCAGCAGGGTCGCTTGTTGTTGCATCTCAGATTCATTCACCAGCAGTTTGAGTTGAGGGAGAGTCTTTTTTTTTTTTTTTTTTTTTTTCTGTCATGGAAAATGAAACCCAGAGCTGCGTGCAGTGTGTTTTATTGTGTGTCATGCAGCGCTAGAAAAGGGGGCCAATATTCCCCTCCGAGTATTGAGAAATAGTCAGCCACACCCTCTTATTGTTGTGGGGTTTCATGTGTTTAGTGAGGAATGTTTCCTGCTTTCAAGACCATATCTTGTCTTTGCACATTTTTAAAGATGTGATCTGCTGTGTCAGCTAATGTTTTAGCAGATATTGCACTAATAATATAAAATGTAGACCCTGACGCCTTTTTGTTTAACCAGAAGGGGGCGCAAAAGACATAATTTAGCCACCTTTACGTTACAATAATCTTCAAGTTTTACTGCAAAGCATTAACCCACTTCTGTGTTGTCGTTTAGTTTAGCGAGACAACTGCAGAAAGAGGTGCAGTCAACAAATGCGTTCGACTTCACAGAGGAGCAAAAGGTAATCAGTAGATCTCTGTTATCTCTGGGCAGAAAAGACAGGTATTCTGCATAAACTAACGAGATTTATGTTTTCTCTTCTTTTAGAAAACTTTAGGAAAGATTGCAACATGCCTGGAGATGAGAAGTGCCAGTTTGCAGGTTTGTGTCATTTTTTTTTTTTTAAATGTAAAGGTCAAAGCAAAAAGCATATTTTCTTATAAATTCACTTTTCTAAAGATGATATTAAACGTGTCTTCGGTTCTGCAGTGCACACAGTCAAAGGAGGACTTCAAGTTAGAGGAGCTGAAGAAACTGGAAACCAGTAAGTGAAGCGACTCGTTTATCCTCCTGTTGTGGCTTCGTATTCTGATCTTCCTCCTTTTTGTCAACAGTAATTCAAAATATCTTGACCTACAACAAAGAATTTCCTTTTGATGTGCAGCCAGTGCCCTTAAGGTAAATATCCATCACTAAACGCCCCATGTTGTTTTCTGTTTTTTTTGAAGTTTGTATTTTACGCAATATCCTGCGTGATTTATCGACGTTTTGTGTGATGTTGATTAAACCTGCCGTTCGTCTCCGTCAGGAAAATCCTAGCTCCAGGTGAAGAGGAGAGCCTGGAGCTGGAGGAGGAGGAGGAGGAGGACGCTGCAGCAGGAGCCGGTTCCACAGAAGCTTTCCCCCCGAGAGCCCCCGGTACTGTGCAACCTGTAACCGTTAATAAAACACACCTGCTGCTCAGGGGATGTTTGATTAGTTGTGTCACGGTGTCCTGTTGTCCTGTTTTGACTGTGTGTCTTTTTGTTTCTCTCTGTCGGTGCTGTGCATGGCTTCATCGCTCATTCCTGCCTGCTTCATTTGCAGCTTCGCAAGGTACGAGCTTTTATCCACCAGCATCTGAATGAGTTCTCTCCTGCACGACAGACGTGTTTTTATCACGGCCTTTCAGAAGCGTATCATACAGAGTTAATATTATTATTTATGAAGGTATGGACATGGAGAGGTTTTCTCTTTCATCAGCGGAGAGCTTAAGTCCCTTCCACTTTATGAAGTCAGCCTCTGTTCCACTAGCTCTAATCAGTTTTCTATAAAAGTTCATCGGGTGGCTGGAAACAATTGTGTGAATAGGCAACTGTTTATAAACTTTACTTTTTGAGGTGATTTGTGTCAATTTTGTGTCGCAAGTGGCCAAAAAAAAAAAAAATCAATGTATGTGGCTTTAATATATAGTCAGAAAACTCTTTTTATCATGCTTTAGCTTCCCAGAGAGACAACAGACAGCTCTATAAAACTGTCAATCGTTAATGTCTGTAACCTTTGTCCTCCACAGGTACCTTGTTGCCACGCTTACCCTCGGAGCCTGGGCTGACACTACTCACACTAAAGATAGAAAAGATCGGGTTGAAGGATGCCGGGCAGTGCATCGACCCGTACATGACCATCAGTATCAAAGGTAACGATCGAGAGCTTTGGATCGTCCACGTTTCTGTGAAGCGGCTGCACTAAGTGCATCGCCTTGAAGTCTTGAAAATCTTGAGTATGAAATGTCCGTTCTGCCAAAAAAAAAAAAACACGAGCACATTCTGTTTTTCCTCCGCCTGCAGATTTGAACGGCGTAGATGTGAACCCTGTGCAGGACACACCTGTGGCCTCCAGGAAGGAAGATACCTACATTCACTTCAGTGTGGAGGTAGAGATCCAGAGACACGTGGAGAAATTACCAAAAGGTAATACTGACCGCTTATAGAAAGTCAAGTACTATGAATGTAACAACTCAAAGGATAATATTCTGGATATACTGTATTCCATGGTTTGCTTTTAGTAAACAAATCCCATGAAAAATCCTAAACCAATGAAAATCCCACCGACATTACTGTCAGTGTACATATTATTGCAAATAAGTAATAACCCCTTGAGATGTGCTGTCTCGTTTTTAAGGGGGTCCTCAAAGGGGGTCCTGAAATTAAAAAAAAAAAAATGGTGTGAAATGTTTTTGTAAACTGAAACTAATAAAACAATCTCATTTAAGAAAAACTAAACAAAAACAATATTGAACCACAGAAATGAAGCGGACCAGACTTTCCAGGAGATGGCGCTGTGTTGCAATTGGTTCACGATGAATCCCTGTTGTTTTTCACATGCAGTCTCAGTCTCGTAGAATTAAAGAACAGGAACACGATTTAAATATTGTACTTGATCAAATGCCATTTAACCAAGATATCGAGCTCGGGTCTAACTGTAACATACTGGGGTCTGGATCGGGAAGAGAGGACAGGCGGTAAAACTAAATATAGAATAAGGCCGATCCTTTAAGTTTTGAGGTAATTCTTCAGTGTGTTAACCTTCCTATTCATGCTATACATTCTTCCAGGAGCAGCCATCTTCTTTGAATTCAAGCACTACAAACCTAAAAAGAGGTTCACCAGCACTAAATGCTTTGCCTTCATGGAAATGGACGAGATCAAACCCGGCCCCATCGTCATCGAACTGTGAGTCCACCGTCGCGTTAAACGATTTAAAAGGAATTCCTTTGTGTCTTGAAACAATGACGTGTACAAATACTGGACCTTCTTGAATTTCAGGTACAAGAAGCCCACGGACTTCAAGAGGAAGAAGCTGCAGCTTCTAACAAAGAAACAACTCTATCTCCATCTTCATCAGACAATACACAAGGACAGCTAAGTGGCAGCACAGCCCGGACTTTGAACCTCCTCTTTTTGAATCTCTCTCTCTTACATCCAACGCGACGAAGCGCTCCACCTCATCAGCTCCAGCAATACCAAAACAAGGTTGTAGTCATTTGTTTTCTCTACGAGTGTATGAAGAGAGTAAAGGGAGTCAAAGATCAGTCGCATCAGACTTTTGTATTCTTGACAAGTGCATGTAACCTCTGTTGCAGGAAACCCTTCTCCAAAAACGCAAGAACCCTTTAGTTTAGTTTTTTTGACTGGTTGGAGGTACGGGCCTTTCATAGGACAGAAGGGTTGTTAAAACAGTTAAACCACCTCATCTCCAGTCTTCCTTAGCTCGCTGATTTTTGGGAAAAACATGGGACACAACGTGAGTTATTGCAGGTGCTAAATTAAAATCACTATTTAATGTTTGTGCTGTTTGGTCTCTGAAGCATTGAATGACATTAAACGATGTGGACATGTTGGTGAAGTCATGGCAGAGTTTATAAAGCCTCTCCCCTAAATGAAAAAACAAGCGTCCTAGTCCAGAACGGTTTGTCTGCCATAATCAGACTTAATTAATTAAGACCTTTATGGTTTAATTATAAATTAAATAGATTAATTTAAAAGCTATTACAAACTGGTTAATAAACCTGGCATTACATCGATCTCGGTAGAAATTGTGACAAAAAGATTAAATTCCCTAATAAATAATTCTGCTTTATTTATTATTAAATTAAACTTCAGGTTAATCCATTTACTAATGTGTCTCACCATTTCCATTGTGTGCTTCTTTAAATATGAACTGAACTTTGACATTAGTTGTTGATTGTTAATAAAAGTATTGATTAGAGCAGCTTTAATTTAAGGAACTGGCTCTCTGATTGGCCAGCTGTTATGCGAGTCTATCCAATCAGAGCTTAAATGGAAACTATAAATCATTTCATACATATATGAATTACTAAAATAGTCAAATTGTCCTGGTGGCACATTCTATTATGGTTTGTTGTTCAGTCACAGACAGATTCAGCAGGGGCATTTGTAATGTTACATGGTGAAATTATAGGTTAAATATACATTAATGCTCCGACCATTTTAAGAATAATCATTTTTAAAAGTTGTGCTGGCTTTGTTTAGAATCACAAGTATGATTTCTATAAAATGATGTGACAGTTGCCACATTTCAGTTCAGTGTTCATGCTTCAGTATGCATTTGATTTAGTTTGTTTACACACGGTTTCATGTTTTTTGTGGATGCAGCATGGTTTGCATGATTCTCGACTTGACATCTGGTCGCGGCCCATTTTTTTTTCTTAACAAGCAGAGATCCAGTGTTCAGGTTGGATGTTCCTCCCCTGCCAGAAGTTTGTTTTTAAACTCTAGTGTTACATTGCAGATCAGATGCATTCTATTTGACCTATGTCTATAGGCTGCATCTGTATTGGCAGTCAAAGAATTTCCTCTCTGTCACCCTGTTATAAAGGGCTTTAAAAAAAAATAAAGTTGCATGTACCTTTTTGTCTCCATTCGGACTTTGCAGATGTTCATCTTTACTACAACATCTACAATGTAATATTTGAGTTTTGATGTCATTTTTGTAATATACAGTAACGCGTGTGTATGTATGCAGCACCATGATGTGGTAGGACCTGAGACCCGTGGAGTGTTTTCTTGACAGACTGGGGGGAAGTGTATCAAACATTTACAATGCTTTTCATTTTTAATAAACTACAAATGAAGCAGTTGAACAGACTGCATTTTTAGGATGTGTCATTTATGCAAATATTAGGTCCCTGAATGTTACGAACATGTTATATTGCTGCTGTGTGAGTCAGATTAACTATAAGTATTCACTCTCAGGCTTCGGACAATCCTCTTCAAAGGACTATGACTTGTTTTTCATGCTCTCCAAAAGGTTTAGTTAAAAAGCTAAAGAAATGGACAGAACAGCCGGACAAACGTCTTGAATCATTGAAATGCTCCACACACGTAGCTAAATATGGTACATGTAGTTTTTGGATAAGTTCACGTCAACCGACAGCAGTCCAGATGTATGCCTTATTTTTTTCCAAATAAAGCAAACGCTGTAAAGACATGTTGAAAGTGATTTAGGCGCAGTGTACAATACATCCACTGTAACCAGTTAGTAACATAACAGACAGCTTTTACATTCTTTATTATTACAAGTTCTACCAACATAGTAAAATAAGTTATACATCTGGCCATCAAATTACACATCTGCTTTACAGTCGACTCAAAAGCAACAGCTTTGGGAAATTATGGAGTTCCTGAAACGCTAGAAGCTAAACTCCTTTTTTAAAATAATTTCCACAGGAAATGACATTTAAAAAATTGCCCCTTAAAAATCATTGATATATATACTTTTTTAAAAGATCAACAAAAATGAAAATACATATGAATTATTATTGCACAATAAGCTGTTTAGAAAAGTGGCAAACCTCTTCACGCATTGATTTCAGACACAATTATTGATGCTTTAATTTAAGGACTTTCTTTTTATAAACATCCTTGTAATTTTTTTATTTTATAACTGAAATATGAAAATAATCATGACCTTTGTTCAGGCTGGATCTGGGGTGATGATGTGATGTGTTCAGGCTAAGTTCAAGTCCTCTGCCACAGCTGGTGGCATCTTTAAGGCTTGACCATCGCTGGCCTCGCTGAGTCCTGAGGGGCCTCCTGCTTCGCATGCAGGTCCTGTCTGGGGCCGCTGTGCGAGCTATGGAGGGCGTCGGGTGGAGCGTGACCGTGTGCGGGATGGGGCGGGGCGCCTGGAGGCAGGTTCACTGGTAGGCTGTAGTGGTCTCGGGGTCCTGGGTAGCGCATGTCAAGAGGGACAGGTGGACGTGGTCCCATAGGTCCACGGATACCTGGACAGAACGATTTAAAAAAGGAAAATATATTCAAATTTACAATATTTGTTGACAGCCCTACTACTCAATGACCCGAAAAACCATGGGATCCAGACCTGGTGTATACTGATATGACTACAAAAACTAATAATATGAAATAACAGAGGGCAGAACGTACCATGTTGCAGAGGCATCGGCCCGAAGTGATGAGTTGGACGGAAGTGTGGCGGTAGTGGACCCCGAGGATCGATGACATGTGCAGGGGCTAGCCTGGGGTTGAATGCATGTCCGTTGGCAGGGCGAGGTCCAAACTCTCCTCCCATTGGTCCAGGCAGTGGCATACCTGGGTGCCCATTGGCTGGTAGTGGAGGCCCATGATGAGGAGCTACATTAGGAGGAAGAGGACCCGGTGGAAGGTGGTAGAGGCCAGGTCTTAGGGCTCTGTAAGGTCCAGGAGGCGGCAAGCGGCCGTGGGGTCCAGGAGGGAGGATCTGGTCGTGGGGGCCATGGGGAGGTCCTGGGACCATAGGGCCCGGTGAGTCCCTGATCGGAGACGCTAGGAAGGATCCAGGTCCCTGAAAAAGACACGATGGTGAGAAAGAGCAGTGTGCAGTCGCTTCAATTTGAGTCGTTACTGGAAGTGAGTAGATATGGAATCAAATTTTAGTCATGCAGTGAAAAGATCCACAAACCAAAAGACCCTTTAGCCGGGGCTCAAATCACATAGCCAGTAACCTCACACCATGATCATTTGGATGTAAAACCAAACCACTTTCACGAACACTCGACCCCTGACTCACACACTTGCAACTTTCAAGGACCCAAAATAGTTTCCAAGACACATTTTAGCTGAAGTTTAGACACGATGAAAAGAAGCTCTGCTTCTCTTAGTGCGGTGAGAACAGGTGACACCACACACTCAGCCCAAAACAGTTAAGTCAGCCCCAGTGAACCAAAATGCTACCAATCTCTTCCCAAAATACAAATCCAGCTTCAGGGAAGAGGGCGGCAAGCTTGCGGACGCCTTCACGCGCCTGGACTGGCCAGCCTCTATACTCACTGGCTCTGGACTGCCTGAGGAGGCCTCAGCCTGTGTCTCTGCTTTAACCTGTGGATCTACTGCCTGTGTCTGTTTCAGAGCAAGGACATACACAACGGACAAGTCGGTAGGAGCTCCAGCCCTGCAGATGAAATGAGGGAAAGGTAACGTGTAAAAAAAAATGATGGGCTGAGAAAAAGACTTACAGATCCATCCATGTTGGCAGGGGACGAGCTTCGGGGGCCCATCATGTCTGAAAGAGGAGAAACGGCAACAGTGCTGTAACGAGGCTGAAAGCAAAAGGTGAACTCGTTGAAACGCAGAGACGGCAGAGGACATACCCATCCCAGAGATGTGTTTGCTTTCAGGGTAACGACCATGTGGGTCTGATGGAGGCCGTGGACCTGAAGGGGAGAAGAGAAGAAGATGGATTGACTACCGAAATTCCTCAGGACTCTTGCCTGTAGCACTTTTCCAGGGAAGACGGTTGGAAGAAGCAAACAAAGGATGGCCATCTCTTCTCTATGAATACTACAGTCAGAGGAAGAAAGCATTATGGATGACTTTAAATCCCCCGAAAACATGGTTTTTACCTGTAATTCATGACTAAATACGCAATTGATCCTTCTGTACCGTTTAAGATTTTAACATGCAGTTAAATATATGTTTAGGGTCTTCAAATTTCTAAATGATTCAACAAAAAGAAACAAAACTAGAGCAGTAAAAATGGAGCTGAAGACAGAGATACCAGGACGACACACTAGGGAAAAAAAAAAAAAAGAAGAACTCAAGAAGGTGACAGATCTGAAAAGAAAAATGAAGTCAGGTGTGGAAGAGAAAAAAAGATTTAAAGACAAAAGGCTGTAGCGGAGGGATGATGTCCGACTGTGGCGACGGTTAAAGAAGGTAATCCACCGGGACTCACCGTACGGGTCCATTCTTCGCCCCAGTGGGGCAGATGGAGGGCGCCTGGGACCCTCTATCATTATTGGAGGGGACGGTGCACCCCCACTCACAGGAGAGGGCCCATAAGAATCACCTGTTACGATCAAAACCATCCATTTACCAAAAGGAAAAGAAACCGGGGACAACACACTACAATCTACGCAGAGACGAAGTCCTCATTCCGGGCTCTCAGAAGACTGTCGAGCACATTGAAATCATCCTCTGCAGGACGAGGAGTGACCCAGTTGGAAGAAAACAGCAGGAAAGGTTTGTGGCGTGTTTACCTTGGCGAGGGCCGGCAGGTTGTCCAGAGTTCGGTCTGAAGAGAGGAGCGCGGCGCTCATTGAGCTGGGAGGTGAGTACAGCCAGTCTGGGTAAAAGAACAAACAAACACTTTTGGTAAGATGCAAATAAGCTCCGTGGGTCGGGGAATTAGTATTTCTATTATTGAGTGATGAGAGTTTGTTTTCAGAAAATTGTGAAATGGTTCCCAGAGGTCAAGGTGACGTCATCAAGTTGCACCTTTTGTCCAACAAAACAGTCACAAATCAAACAATACTCCGTTTACAGTGAAATTTAAACAGAGAAAAATAGCAAATCCAAAGTGAGGAGCTGGAACAAGTGCATGTTGATTAAAAATGATGATAAATCTAATCATTTTAAACAATTCTTTACTAATTCGGCCAACACTTACTTTTCACGGAGCTTTGATGACTCAAGCTTCTCTTGATTCAGAGCTCGCTCTGCATTACGAGCATTTACCTGGAAACGTAACGGAGAATTAGTGTGTGACTAGAATCTGAGCTTATTATCAATCTTAAATATCCATTTATAGTATATTTGCAAATGTGGAATAAAGTGTGCCACTTTGTGCTGCATACCCAGTTTGAGTGAGTTTTGTTTTCCTGTTCTTTGATCTAAAAACAGACAGAAACCAGATATTTAGTCAGGGGTTCAGTCCGATGTCTCCGTCTACTTGCTCATTTAGGAATGAATAGCTACCTGGTCTTTATAGACTTGCTCCGTCTTCTTCATCTCGTCCTCAATGTCGTTAATGCGTTGCCTGAAGACTCTAACCTGCTCCTCGGCCTCTACAGCTTTTCCTCCCACCTCGGACAGCTGACTCTCTTTGCTGCGTCGCTCCAGCTCTTCCTTCGTTAATCTCCTGCAAAGCCACAGAAACTGTCTTCAAATAACGGCAACACCGGGTTTCCTCCACATCTCTCCGATTCAAAGACGTACGACGCTTATTCATATTCATCATGGTGAGAGGACAGCAGATGTTATAGTGTGTAACAGCAGTTAAAAAATAAAAAAAAGACGTGTTACGGCTTCACTTACTGCTGCAAAGCGTTTTCCTTCTGCTGATACATCTCAACCATGATTTCGTTTTTCTGCTGGAGGATCTTGAACTGGTTTTCAACATGGCTCTTGTCGCTTTTTAGGGCTGTGATTGCATGCTCCAGCTCCTGGTGTTGCTCTATAGCCAAACACAATGGTGGGTTTAGAGAGAGGCAGGAAAAAAGGTCCCAAAAAACCACTTTGATCAAAAGAAAGATGGCCGACATACCTTCCAGTGACTTTCTAGTCTTTTCTTCATTCAGTAGTTTGGTCATGAAGCGATCGCGCTCTTCCTCGACCACAGTGAGCGTGGTCTGGACCTGGAAACAAATGATGGGAACATTTTAAAGCAGGTCAACACTTTGCGTTATTAGTATTAACATGCGTCATTCATGACTACGATGTATTTAATAGTTATTTTGACATCTTACCCGAGAAACATCCATCATCTGTTTGATCCTGTTCTTTACGGCGGTCTTCTTGTCTGAAAAAGACACTGAAAGACCATCAACCACTTAGTGTGAAACATCACCGACAACAAACAATGTGGTGGTTTAAAATCTACTCAACACATTTATTTGCGTATTACTGCTTTCATTAAGTTAGTAACAGAGTGGGGACTAACCAGGAGCTACTTCACCATTGGCTAACACTTTGGTGTCACTCTTTTGCAGATCACAAGCGTCGAGGTCAGCCAGAAGTTCAGACAGCACCTGTCAGGAGACATGTTAGTTTGGGGGTTAGTTCATAATTTAATGCAAGTTAAGGACTTATATCTACTGAGACAGCAGTATCCTGACCTCCACGTTGTGATCTTTGAGCACCACCGAGTCCTCCAGCTCTTTCTGGGACTTTTGGTAGACTTTAATCTGCTCGTTCAGCTCCTTGTGTTTGTCCTCCCAGCTCTTAATGGTAGCCTTGAGCTGTAAGAATTGGCAAGTCAGGAAACAGTATTCATATAAAATGATGATGGGAAAAAAAGATCAAAACAACATGTCTTACTGTTTTATTTTCTTCTTTTCGTGCAGAGTAATCTTTCTCGAGACATTTTTGCTGAACTTTTCGGGCATCTTCACGAATCTTGGCCTCGTCCAGGAGAACAGCGGTCTGTAGCGAATGCATGCGGTTGAAAAGAGAAGCTGAAACCAGAAGCTTCATTTACTCTCGCAATGTGTGCAAAAGATTACGCAAATACTCGTACCTTAGAGAGAGCCTCCTGGATCTTCTTCCTGCTGAGCTGGAGCTTCTCGTTTAACTTCTCTAACTTCTCGATCTGTTAGAGAAAACCGTTCAGCGTCACGAGTCTGAGACGAGAGCTAAAGACGTAGCAGGAAGGTAAATATATTAAACAGTTACCCTGGTGCCATTTTGCAGTGAGTTTGCCCTCTCGTCTTGGAGTAGTTTTGCACATTTGTTTTTTTCCTCAGCTGCGTGTTCATTCCGGGTTTCTGCCTCCAAAACTTTACTCTGCAAATAGGTAATGAGAGAAACGTCAGACAGTCTTTATACAATAAGAAGCCATTTACACCTAACACTCGATGCAGTAAGAGTTAATACACAAAGACTAAGTATCCGTAGTGCTTACCTCCAGGTCTTGCATCCTTTTTATTGTACAACTAACTGTTTCCTTTGACTGTTTTTGATTTTCTTTCAGTTGTTCAGTCTTCAAAAAAGAAGAAAGAAAAAACATTTTAGAAAGTTCCAGAAACAAAACAACGTATATTTTGTTCACAAGTAGTTTATAGATATTTGACCACGTATTACTTGTAGCTCACCTGTTTTTGGAGTTCAGACATTTTGGCGAGAGAGTCATTCTTCTCTTGTTTTAATGCCAGGATTTGCTCCGCCAGCCTTTTTTCATCCACTGAGTCCAACAGAGAGTACACAGTCAGTTACATTTTACACTTCTGCATTTTGTAATGTATTACAATATATTAAAACTTACCGAGATATTCGCTCCTCTTAACCTGAAAATATTTAGAAAGCCAATAAGTAAAGATCAGTTTGGGATAACTGTCACGGTATGGTCACCATGTACATAATATAGCTTTGTCATATCAGGAACCGTGTATAAATAATAAACAGTGACACAGATAAGAATGTATTATGTCAATCTCAAACCATGGGTAGGTGAGCCGACATTTCAATGATGTGTGCATCTTCAGAGTCAAAACCTAATGACATCTAAGCTCATACAATTACAATATTTGTTGTTGTTGACAGACCCTAGCACCTCCTTTGAGCAGAGATGAGAGCAGCACACTTACTGCCAACACGGTCCTCCAGAAGAAGAGGGTGAAGGTCACCACTCCAACCAAAGCAGTGATGACCACAACTTGCCACGGACATCCAAACAAGGTTTCCCCCGGCTTCCACTCTTCTGGCAGCAATGAAATCACCTGATGGCACACAAACAAATCCAAAATTAGTAAGGAATGATCGGGGACTCAATCAGGAATGATAAAATAAAACTGGTTTAACATAATCTTCCATGTCTCAAGGTGTTAATAAATGAGGGGTGGGGGATACTCTTGTTACTCTTCTTACTATGTGAATAATATGATGATGAGACTAAAAATAGAGACAGATGGCTAGTCAATATTTGCCAAAGCACAGCGAGACACTCCAGCGGTCTCACTTAACCGGCCTATACAGTAGCTTCAGCCTCACTTGCACCATTTGCATGCACCCCTAGACTGAGATACCGTGTATCCATTAACAGAATGCACTAAATGCACGTGTGACATGTTACTCTATTCACACCACTGAGAGGAAAGCTCGTCAAGATCTAGAGCACAAGCACACAATAATAAACAAAGCATTGCTGGACTAACAAAGAAGTATTAAACGGGGTAATATTGAGTGTATTATAACGGCTTCCTTCACTTATCATACAATAGTTGTTTGGCTGTCGTACTTATGAATTGTATCAGTAGTCACAATAGACCATAACTTTACAACTTCATTAATGTCGAGTCATACTAAGAAGAACTCTTGCCGATTGCTCCAAACACAGAGAAACCTTTGAACTGAGCATGTGGCAGTTCACACAGGAACAAACACACACTCTAATGAAACAGAGGCATTACACAGACATCTACACACCACATCTGCTGACAGGATTAACGTGCTCTCTTCAATCAGCTTCATTTCACTCACTTCCATTACACTTTTTTTCTGTATGTAGCAATGCACAAAAGCAGGACTGCAACCACACTATGTTTCACTCAAACTCTAATCCACACACACACACACACACACACACACACACACACACACACACGCGATATGAAAGAACCATATGGAAGTCATAGATATCTAAGAGGCAACATCAACTGCATCAGGTTTGGTGCGTAAACTCAGGGGAAACGTTCAAGTCAATGTGCCTCAGCACTAATGCTCATTAACACGTCAGCATAATGAATGCTTCACATAAGAGACTCAAATGTTCACTCACGTGATGCAGCTCCCTGAGAAACGACATGTAAACATGCTCCGGTTCCATTACAGGTCTGGTTAAAGCATCACCCTCCATGCTATATAGTCTTTGAAACACAAACGGAACTAGCGCGAGTAACGTTGTGCTAGTTTGACAGATGTTCGGTTTGCTAGCACGCCGTTGTTATCCTCAAAGTAAACCGCACAATTAAGCTACCGAGGTTAGCCGTTAAAGCCCTGATAAATAACAAAATACGTCGTTACAAAAACTGACGACAGATAGTCGAGACAGTAGGACTTGGCAACAACAGTCTGCTAACGGTAATAACAGACGAGTCGTCGTGTCCCATTCACTATCAAAAATACACCGACGAGCAGGAAACGTTAGCTGAGCTGGAGGTTCAAATATGGATTCATATTAGGCTACAAAAAGCAAGTGAGAACCTAAATTAATTTGACAGCCCAGAGTTCATCATAATGCTGGCTTTTATGATGTTTTTTTGCCAAAACAAGGCCCGCCGGTTGTGCTAGTGTCCAGCTAAGCTCAGGCTGAACTTCAGCCTACGACACACAACATGACAGGGGGAGGCCCGTGGGACGTTCAGGCACAATCGAAAATTTGACTTTCCCCCCTGATACACAGGTCCCAGCATTCACCCTGTTAATCATTGACAGCTCGTGCTGTCTAAATGTGTGAACGCAGGAGGATGCAAGTAAAAATGCTTTAACAGCAATATACATATCATAGGCCGGTTAAGTGAGACCTTATACTTTTGTTTAATTCATTTTTACCTGTATGAAAATTAATATTGGTAAAATTGTGATCATTAGACCAAATTAAAACATTTTTGAAAATTGTCATTATACCTTTACATGTATGAGAAGTACTGAGATTGTGATCAGGTTTTTGTCAGTTCAGTTCAGGGTCCCAAAACCTTTTTTACATTTATGAATGGGGACTATTTTCCAATCGGCAATATCTTTGCAGACCTACCGACTGCGTGTGTGTTCTGGGCCTGAACAGGAAGTACCAAGGAAGAAGGCAGAACAGACAGACTCTGCCAAGATCTTTCGTAATTATTGCAGAAGTTCCTTTTCTATCAAGATAAATGCTGAACTAGTGAATGGAGTAGCTAGAATTCTTAGACTTGCCTCAGTGGTCCACTCTGCAATTTTACTCCTGATCAACGAAAGGATGCAGCCCATGTAAACCATCCCAGTTGAAAATAATCCCATTTCTTCTTCGTGAATTTCAGACACTGGTCCCACGGAGTCCAAAGAACCTGGTGGAACAAAATTAACCTGTTAGTCAGGTTATGTGTGTTACGGACAAAGTACAAAAAATGTAATGCATTCAAAGTAGTCAAAATATCATGTGATTATCAAACAATTCCTCCAAAACTAGGTGAATCGAGGAAAGACTGACTTGGACTGATGAGGGGAAGGATTTGCTGACCCCAAGAATGACATTTTGAGCCTAATTGTGCTAAATCCTATGATAACCCAACTCCAAAGTGCTAAAATCAGGGTTTCATTATGCCCCCAATAGTGAGGATTTTTGAATATAAATGTCAAATGTAAGTTGAGGGCTTGACAAAAAGACTAAAAGTATTCTTTAAATTTAAGGAATCACCTTCAGAATGGAAGCCAAGTGAGCAACTATTGTTTCGAAGTTTAAGAAACTATAGTTATGGACGCGAAATACCAACCTGAGGGTGAGGGCTCAACCTCGACACCAAGGCCCATGTCTACGGGATTTTCCAGGGTGGCTTGAGGGACCTCCTGCCTCTCATCTGATGCACTGAAGCTAGGCTGATTGTCTTTGTCTTTATTAAAGAGTCCGCCATCCTCCTCCACACCGACATCCGGTCCACCGTGTGCCTCATCCAAAACCACCTGGTCTTCTTTAGTCTCCGCTGGTCTTTCCTCCTGAGTTGTTACTACGAGGTTGTCATCGCTCTCAGCCTCAGGGACGCCGACAACCTCGTCTTCTTCAACAATGTGGGGCGTGTCTTCTTTTACTTGCAATTTGTGTTCATCTACAACAAAAACACATGAACAATTAGGGATTAGTCAAGGAGGTCATTTTCCAGGTCTGTCTAAAAAAGTTTCTGGATGGTAGTCCAGGTAGGAGATGTTATTTTGTTTCTGCGAGGTGGAACTCAAACATATTTGATCTGGTGACAGCAGGTGCGGTCTATGTGGCTTTGTCAAGAACAAGGTGTTTGTTCAGTAGGAGGTCAGTGTGACTCTCTTTAATAGCAGGGAAAACATTTAAATGTAAGGTGAGCAGAGCCAAGACCGGTACAGCAACTATTTTAAATCTGTATTTGGGCTCTAAGCCACACACCACATCTGTAAAACAAAAGAAAAGAACGTTTCCATCTCGCGAATTACACACAAAGGAAGTGGCCGTGGAGTCCACTTATAACATGGTTGACAAATGATGCAAGTAGGACAAGATTTCCAAATCTAAAAAATGGTGAAGCTGTATGGCCAAGAATAAAATATGTATTTTTTTGTTTTTAGCAGTGGCCGCAATTCACTGTTGTGTGCAGTATTAAGTGAAACTCTATCACAAATGGTGACCTGAGTCTGATGTCAAGTGTGAGCTGCAATCCCTTTTAACCATATCTGCCCCCTCCCTCTGGAACTCTCTCCCCAAACACATCCGAGACTGCACTGACCTTTGCACATTCAAATCTCAAATCAAAACCCACCTGTTCAAAACTGCTTTTAATGTGTGACCACTATTGTGTATTTTATGTTTTAGTGTATTGTTTTTATATATGATGATTTTAATGTAAAGTGTCTTTGAGTTTTATGAAAAGCACTATATAAATAAAATGTATTATTATTATTATTATTAACCGGATGAAGACACAATCTGGATAAATCTGGGAACAAGACACTTGTCTGAATGGGGCCTAAAAAGGACAATTCAGGGCTGCATATCTGCTCTGCCACAGTATCAAATTCTGCATTCACTTCATCTGTGGATCATAAGCTTATGCAATATACTGTGCTTGTGTGTGAAAGGCCCAAATCAGAGGTTAAAACTGAATATGCAACGGTACAACCACAGACCTAAAACCTTTATCTAAACTAAAATGAAACATTTAAAACAAAACCTACCGTGGTCAATATCTGATGCTTTTTCTGCGGCCAAAGGCGTGCTGTCACTGGCTGCAGAATACTTCTGTCGTAGGCTGAATCCGAACTCCTGGAAGTCATCCATTATTTCAGTCTCCTCATCCAAACGGCGTGTGTCTGCATGTTGGTCATAACTGCGTTTTGAGCTCCGGTTATCCAGCATCTTCTCGATCTCGTCCAGGATGGCGGTTTCAGAGACCTCCAGGATGCCATCGAGTGCATTTTCAATGTCTCGCGTAGTACCCGTGTGTGCGCGACGGGAAGCCTGCAACTCTACGTCCAAGTCAGAGTACATGGCCTCCACTTTGAAGAGATTCCTGAGACCCAGAAGCTTTTGGAGCTTCTGCATGGTGTCCTCTGAGAAACGGCCTCGGAGCAGAGTCAGTCTCATCACGCTGTCGCTGTATTCGGGCTCTGGAGTGGACACAGCGGGCGGAGCCGTTTCAGGGGAGGCTTCAGAGTCTTTGTTGTCAGATTGTGAGAGAGAAAGTGCATTTTCATCTTCAAGTAATTCTTCTTTCTGCTCCTCTTTCTGTTCCTGCACCTCTTTCTCTTCTTCATCTTTCCACTCATCTGCAAGACGTTCCTCGTGACTCTCCGGTCCCTCCACAGATAATTCTGGTTGACTGTTATTACTCTCTAAATCAGTCATTAAGTGGTCATGTATGTGATTAGGTAGGCGGTCATCTACTGTCTTTTCATCATCTTTCACATCTGAATCCTGCATCTCCTCAGTGAACAGGTCTGGCTGTGTTTCAGTTAGGGTACCAGCTAATTCTAGATTCGGCACAGTTTTGTTTTCGTCCAATTCATTGTCCAAATCCTCACTATGCTCCATTACAACGCTACTCTTACCATCATTATTAACCTCTGAATCTTTGGACACTTCCTCCTCCTCTTCCTCCTGCTCCTCCTCCTCGTTGTCCTCTTCTTCTTCCTCACTCTCAATGGGTTCATCTGTTGCTTGAATATCAGAGTTTTCAGCCTCATGAACGTCAGCAGTATCATCTTGTGATACCGGATCCACTGATATTGCAGTTGCTTCTGTTTGATGGTGTATCGGCTCATCAGTTGGTGTTAGAGTTTCCTCCGAGGCGTCCTCAGGTCCGATCTCTTCTACATAACCCTCATCATCATCATCATCATCGTCATCATCAAACAAGGGTGGCTCTAAGTTCTTAGGCTCTTTAGATGAATCTACTGGTATTTGTTTTTCTTCTACGTCGGCCTTTTCTTCCTCAAAACTCTGAGGGGTTGTCGGAGCAGCTTCTTCGTCCTCGTCATCGTCTTCCTCCTCTGAACTCAAATCTTGTGCTGTCCTCTCTCCCCCAGTCACAACTGAAAAAACAGCATCTCCGATGGACGTCCACACATTCTTCTTCTCTGCCTCTGCCTTATTATCATGTGTAGTCGGAGGACTTTCCTGCTTTTTGAGGGAATCTGATGCTGGAGTGTTCATGGTTTCTTCAGAAAAAGACAGCAATGGAGTTTCTGCTTTAACATCCATGTCTTCTTCGGCCGGATTTTCCACATATTCGCCTTCTTCCTCTTCATATGGGGAGACATTCTTGGTGATTTCGTCTTCGGTGATGACGGCATCGAAAGTTGTTCCAAGGGTTGTTTTTAACACGGGGATTTGCACTCCTTCAGAAACCGAGACTGGTTTGTTTTCTGAAGCAAAGTCTCCTCTGGGCACAGCTTCTACTTGAGAGGTTGAGGGCGTTTCTTTGGTTTCAGTCCTTTCTGACACATTTTCAAGAATGGACACGGCTGTGTTTTTCTCAGCTTCTGTGTGTTCTGTAGCTCTTCCAGTAGCACCGGGTGTAGCTGCTGTCTCAGACGGTACTACTTCTGCAGAAGGTGATTCAGTTGCTACGTCAAGTTCAGGTAAAGAGGCACTTTGTTTATCTGGGACTTCATCAAGGTTCTCATAGCTATCATGATGCTCAGTTTGTTCTTCACTGTCAGTCGCCTCTTCTGCTGATGGCTGTGTTTCTTCCTGCTCATCCTCCGCCACTTGAGTTTGGTCAGATGTTAAATTATTTTCACCATCATTCTCCTCCAGTGAAGAGCCTAACAGTAAATCTACGTCATAATTGTCAAACTTATCAAATCCAGTGTCAAAACAGACAAAATCCGTTTCCTGAAAAGCAGTTTAAAAAGAAGACGAGATCAAAAAACATCCAGCAACATTTTTAGATGTCTAATTGATTCACTTAGTCAGCAACATATTTTCATACCTCCGCTGGAACTTCAATTTCTTTCTCGGTATAAAGGTGGTTAACTGCAAGAAGGTCGTTTGGGAAATAGCCAAAGTGATTTCCAACCTATTTCAATTACAAGAGAACATGTTGAAGGTTATAACAACATAGCGTAAGCTAGATGTTATCCATTTCTGATTAAATATTAACCAGAGTATACGTACACTTCCGGCCCACATGTCGGTCCTTCTGCCTGACAATTTGTAGTATACATAGATAGTTTCTGATTCTTTGACTTTCAGGAACCGACAGTCTGGTCCCGAGAAATCCTTGATAGCTTTTCCCCGACACAGAAGCACTGTGAAAGAAAAGTGGAAGCATTAGAATTGTTTCAAAAAGATAAGCTTTAGCAATATGTTATTATTCACATATTGCCCTTTCTAAAATTCTAAATACTTGCAGACTATATTCAAAGATTAGGGCTTTTAATTGATCAGTCTGTTATTTTCTCGATGCAAGCCTTTTGTTCATGTCAGTAAATAGCCAAAAAATGCATATTTCAAATTCCAAGTAGACAAATTCAAATCTCTTGCTTTGTCCATCCAACAGTACAAAACCCAAAGTTATATTTGGTTTAATGTGATTATAGATGAACAAAATCAGCACATATTCACATTTGAAAAGCTGGAACCAACTGAGTTTTTGCTCTTCTTTTTATTAAAAAATTACTTAACTGATTGACTGTTTTTATAAATGATTGCCAGGTTATTTTCGGTCAATCCACTAATTGTTTCAGCTCTACAATATTTCCATAAACAAAACATGCATCACAACAAAGGACTGAAGCCGATTAAACTAAAACGAGATGGCAAAGAGTGAAGCGTTATCTGCATTGATGCCGTGTATTATTGAAACCATAACATCATGATTTTTAGTCCCGTCTTAAGTCTCATGTGTTGATTTAAAACATTTAATTCATCTCCTTGTGGCTTTTCTCTGTTTAATGTGTCTAATATTTACTATTTTAAGACAAACTATCTTCTCCTCATGATACGTCAATCTAACCATTTCTTATCAACCTAACGTTGCACCAGCGTTTTGGGTTGCGGTCAACAAATAGGTGATTTCTTCAGGTGAACAATAACAACAACAACAGCAACAACAGCTGTAACAACAGTCTCCTCAGGCTGGACACACGTTACTTTAAATTGACTGTGACTATAGTGACTAGTGACGTTAGTCTGTGCTGAGTAGCATTAGCTACAACGAGAGAAGGAACAACCACAGCCAACGTGGCTTAACAACACGGTTAACGCTAGCTGTACTTTGTCAGCTAATGTTTACTGTCGTTTGTCCAACGTTACCAACATTAGCAGAGTTTTTGCTAAAAGCCGGTGGCTAATTAGCTGCTAACATTAGCCAGCAGGAAAGGCCGGAGCTATCAGGAAACCGGCCAACACGTCTGCACGAATAATAATAATAATAGCTAATACCTCATGCTAACATGAGCGTGGCGTGATGTCAGTGAGCAGCACACAGATACGCAGCATCGGAGCTACCACGGGAGGTTATCCAGGTCGCAAATATCGACTGGCAACAGGTCCAGAGATAAGGCGCAGTTTATGGCTAGCTGTGGTATCTGGATGAGGGAAGATTGCATCCTTGATGAGCTAGTAGTCGCAACAAGACAGCAAACTTACTGCTGCACTCCTCATCGGCGCATCTTTTAAGGTCGGAGAACCTTTTTTCCAAGGCTGCGGTTGAAATAAAATTAAATAAAAGTAATAAAAAGCCCTGTCGGTAGAAGTGTTTTGCTGCCATGCTGGCAGTTTCAGTTGACTAACTCGACTCTGCTGCTGGAGCATGAGCACTGGGAGCTGGAGGAGCCGACACGTCAGCAGATCAGATCCGGCTGGGTGTAGGCTCGGATAGATTTACAGGATATAAGGTTCGGATTTGGCTGCTCCGTGTGACTGTGAGAAACGATCCCACCCTGGGGCAGAGGTAAAACTGCACAAGGAGTCAGCCTCGTCAGTCAGTGTGCAGTTTCATCCAATACATCTGCAAAATGCACCAAACGATTTAGGAGACTGAAAACTAGGGCTATTCCCCCAGAGGATTAAAGGTGCACTGTAGTGACAGTAAATCTCCACAGAGTCCTTTTAAAACACATTGAATTCAGATAACAGAGGAGAAAAGGCAGTTTGTTGATGGTGGTAAATGGGCTTAAAAACATAACAAAACTGTTACCTAATATTGAAAAGGAAAATCAATATGTGATGCCAATCCATAATGTAGAGAATACATACTGCCAACAATTCTGTTTCAAAACAATGGATCCCATTTGAACATTTTGAGTTTTGAAAATAACTATATGAGATAATCGTGTCATTAACAAAACCTTTGATCCATTCAACATGTAATCCATTTAATGTTTGCACACACCACTTCAAGATAGATAGATAGATATTTACCATTACACATACAAATCACAAAACAAAAAGCATGACACTCTGAGAGGTAAATAAGAAATAGCATTGTAAAAACATAATTAACTATACACTGAACTAAATCTTGGCCATTATAAATATCAAGGTCGAACAAAACGTTTAAAACTGAAATAGCATACAGAAGCCCAGTTTCTGAAACAAGAATCTTTTCTGTCACATCCCTTCACCTTAGTTCATGGGAAAACAAAAAAAAGAAGCTCTAAGCTCCGCCTCTTCCGGTTACATCAGCCAATAGGCGTGCAGCTTTTCTGTCTACTTCCTTAGCTACTGCCCAAAGAGCATAGTGGTGAATAGTTAACAACATGTGGAAGTCACATTAATCTACAATAGAAGACACCGCATCTTATTGATTTATCAACAACAGCAGAGACTGAATGAGTACTTGTACGTTAGATTTGAATGTTAGCTCACCGGTGCAGGCTAATCTTAGCTTTAAACCTAGCATCGGCACGTTGTCTACCTTACATCCGAGTATCGATAGACCGTTACTGCTCAGCAGGTAGGGTCTCATCCAACTTTGTTTTACGAGAGAATAACAGTGATTTTTGTCTCATATTAATTATACAGTAATAGATTTATAGGTGGTGACGTTTATTGTGAGAAAGCTAACTTAACCAGCCTGTGAGTTAGCCTCAAGTTACAGTAACACTTCTCTTCTACAGTCACACCATTCATACGACTCACAGTAAAGTTAACTGAAGTGTAAAATATCACAACACAATACTAGCACTGGTGTGGGTTCATGTGTCTAACATTACACCTTAATTAAGAATAATTCAACTTGGACTTTTCACAGTTTTCTGATGTTTTAAAGGACAAATGGATTAATCAAGAAAACAATCACAATATGAATTAATAGTTAAACTAATTGTTCAGACATGGCTTATCATGCATAGCAATCTTCATGTCTTGTAAGTAAGTTTATTTATTTATTTTTCTCCCTGTAGGTGGCCGTCACAGTGAGCATCAGAGCAAGTGATAAAGGACAGCTGTCCAACCGGAGCCTCAGTGCTGTGATCATTATGGATGACTTGCAAAGAGAGCTCGGGCCCCCTGAGGACTTAGAGGATGACAACGATTCCTCAGACGACAACTCTTCAAAAGGGAGGAAATCAAAGCTCCCTCTGGTTAATATCATGTATGCAGGTGAGTTGTTCTGTTTCCGATATATAATCTAATAGAGCTAAACTGATTAATCGTCCGGGCTGATATATCGGCCAATTTCAGACATATAGTCATCAGTGAATATGTTGGCTGATTAATAACTTAAAATCTATTACGAAAGATACAGAGAGAATCAGTTTAACTTAGTACAATTAAACCAGAATTTTAGTAAAATAAATCATAGGATTATTATAGAACATTTTGTTTCTGTTAGGGGTTTACATAAAAAAAAGAAGACTATTGGATAATATATTATTTTTTTTACACTCTTGAATATTGAAATCAGCCTAAAAAAAATCCAGTATCAGTCGAGCTATAGAACATATAATAGTTAATAATGTTTTGGACAAATGCATTCATCGTGAAAATAATAAACTTTATTTCATCCAAAGAGACATCGAGGGAAACTGGGTTTCACAAGAGTACCAGAGCCTGTCTGGAGCTGATCAGAGAAGCCCTGCTGCACCACAGGTGGCAAGAGGCCGCAGAATACATGGCATGTTACCCACAAATGTTAGACGACACAACCAATGGCAGAGGTCAGCAGTACAAGGAGGTATGTTTGCTTTTGTCTGCGTTAGTATGTTTTTGTTTCATGCAGACAAGCCAAGAACACTAATTGCTACACATAACTCCACCTACAGCACAGCATGAACAGACACTTTGACTCTTTTCACAAGTTTCCACAAAAGCCCTGTTTCTAAAAACGCAACTTAATTCTGTTTCACAGTCATCCAGGAAAAAAAGAAATTAGCAAAGATTCCAAATATTTCAACAGAGTATATTCGTAAATAATTGTTTTAACTAGTTATGTAAACAATTTGATCAAAAGCTACGCAAGTTTCCACATCCTTGATATTAACTCTCTTTTTGCAATTTCAACACCAGCTTATTTGGAGAATGAGCGCTGAGATCCTTCACCATCACCCCAACTCAACGATGGAAGACTACAACAACATCTATGAACGGATGAAACACTCGGGAGTTAAACATTACCTGATGGTACGTTAGCTAGTAGACCCGAGTACACACACTTTTTTACACGAGTGAAAGACATCTGAGACCTGTTCCTTTGCGTCTCTAGATCTCTCTGGAACATTCATTCCACCTGCTGCATAATGGTCACATCGAGGATGCAAAGCATCAGCTGTCTGTCGCTGAAAGTTGGAGGCACGGGAAGGAGTCAGCAGCTCAGTATCAGAGGATTAAACTGATCCACGCCTACAGGAGCTTACTGGATTATATGATCTGGTGTGACAAAAAGTTTACCTACATCAACACCACTGGTAAGGTGATACACAGCGCAACACCCAAAGCATCCATTACTTACTAGCTCTTGTGTGATGTCACACTGCCACCTACAAATCAGACCTAGTAACTACTCGGGTAAAGAGGCGATCAAGTTGTAGGAAACCTATTTGAGTGTGCAATCTTGACACAACATACTCTCTTGTGTAACTCGATGTTTGAAAAATCTCTTTAATTGTTTGTGTGAACTGACCCTACTGTTTCAGAGCATCCCGACTGTGGTGAAAACCAAGAGATGAACAACTACTTCAGACAGGCCTCTGTGAATCTAAAGGAGATTTTGAAAAAACCTGGCGTCTGGGATCCCTTCATACTGAGTTACGTTGAGGTAAGAACTCATTCCCAACTGCCTGATTTAATTAAAGAAACGTATATATTTAATATCACAACAGAATTAAATCAATCATTTTGATAATTGATAAATCATTTAAGTACATTTTAAAAATGTAAAAAATTCACTTCCCTAGACTAGACCTACCATGCACTTCAATGTCTTGAGTCCGTTGTTTTAGAACAACTTCTTGTCTTTCATGTTTTCAAATGTTCCTGTCAGGTTTGCTAAATGTCTCTACTTCTTGTAATATGGTTGTTTAAATTTGGCAGATGCTGGAGTTCTATGAGGATCATGAGGAGGCTTTAAAGGTCCTGAATGACTACGCATATGACAACACTTTTCCACCCAATCCCAACGCGCATGTCTATCTGTACCAGTACTTAAAGCGGCAAAATGCTTCAGAGAGAAAACTGGTGAAAGTATTGAAGGTACAACCGTGTACAAAAGCACTGCATTTATACTGATATACTGTATTGTAAAGAGAGATATGATCCCTGTGAAACTGCATTCAAATTACCATTTTAATTTTGTTGAACTAGAAGTTGTGCCTTACGGTTATAAGATGTACAGTTAGGCACACATATATAAATACTCTGTGTCTAATGCATCTATAAAACTTGACTTCCTAATGCCGTAGGTCCTCCATGTATCAGTCCCAAGCCACGAGTTGATGTTGGAGTACAGTTCTCTCCTGCTTCAGTCAGGTAAAAGCAAATTCATTCTTAAATTAAAAGTGATGCCAGATAATTAATTATACACATAATTAAAATGAATCAAATTCATGAGAAAAAATCGTTAATTTGAGTTATTTTTGACTGAGTGATGTCTGACTGCAAACATCAAGAGGCATATTGTGATATAAGAATATGTGTTGTTGGGTCTTGGAAAATATATGTCCTATTATGTCAGAGCCACGTCTCCGTGTATCATTTTCTTTGTTCCATAGTATCCATTTTTTATGTGTTTTGTTTTTCAGAGAAAAAAAAAGACATCCAGAAAGCTTTAGGAGTCGTTCTGGAAATGCTGGACTTCGCCTGCTGGAGGAGCAATCTGAATGTGTGGAAGCTTCTAAAGGCCATTATTGAGAAACTACAGTTACAGTTGCGTATTAAAAGTTTGGAAAATTGGAAGCTCCGTTTTTGATAGACTGCAGGTTTTTATTATAAGACAGTTATTGTTGCTGATCCCAGTCGTACTGTATATTTGTGTAATCACAACAGAGAAGACTGGAGGGACTCTGTCGCTGGAAAAATGGCTCCAAGAAAAGACTGGTGGCCTGCGCTGCACTTCACAAGCTTCCATGCCAGTAAAGACTCTGAGCAGAACCCGGAGCTCAAGGAAGTGAAGGCATCACTGACAAAAATCCTTTGTCCCGGTAAGAAGTTGTGCGTGTGCAAAAAAATCACTTCTGGAAGTATTGTTTCCTGTAAAATTAGCTTTTTAAGCCCGAACTTCTCGCAGGAAACCCTGCATTCTAAGATTTCACAGTTTAAAGGGATACTAAAGATCTTTTGAAGTGGGCTTGTATGAGGTACTTATCCATTGTCAGTGTATTACCTACAGTAGGAGGCAGTCACCAATGTGCTGCTGTGGATCAGGGCGGCAACAAAATTAAATTACCTACAAGAAAGGCCCACTTACAAAAAAAGTGTAAGCTGTGTTTGTGTCATTGTGTGACTTTGGTGAATCCAAACTACCCCTTTTTAAACGGCAAAGTCACACAATGACACCTGATGTTGCCTTACCCGTTAAAGAGATGATCCCGGTCACTTCCACACAGTGAGGCACACAGCTTCACTGTGTGGATCAAACACTGGTATGGGATCAGTAATCGGTATCAGCCGACACCCAAAGCCCAGGTACCAGTATCAGGACTGAAAAAAGGCAGATTGGTGCATTTCTCCCCAGAACAATTTTAAATGACAAGATTTTCTCAGCAAATATTTAACGATGACACATGGTTCATTATCTCTAAAGAAGTTTGTGTATTAATCGAATAATTAATTGAATGAAGAGAAAACTATAATGCTTTGGTTTGTTAAAATATTGATTAGTTAATGAGGTAGTTGGATGCACCATTGTAAGCTCTCAACTAGTCACAAAACTGTTCAATTCTATGTTAAATTTGTACATATAATGTAGATCTTTATGTGTCACTGTCTTTCTTCTTACAGATCTAACGCTCAAATACACAGCTTGAGAAGAACTCGAAGAGAAAATCAAATGTCTTTAATTCTCAACCAAGAACAGAGCTGAGATGCTACCAGAATGGAGAAACAGAGGCCTCCGAATGAAGAGCAAAAGTCTTCATATGTTTTTTTTACATGTTGTTTATTTTGGCAAGATTTCTTTTGAGCGATACAATATTGTTTAGCTCCTCTGACACACACACATGATACAAAAATGAACCTCTCTATTTGATTAATTTCTTTTTTTTTTTTTAAACCTTGCTCCATTATGTTGGTTAATTGTGCCTTGAGTTTTAGTTTTTCATTGTAAAGGCACAGGCTACATTGCCCACTATGTGGAGCTCTTGTTCAGTATTTTTTGCACTGAGTATCTGAAGGGTACCACCACCTAATTTAGGCAGAGTGTGGCTCTGAATGTCAGTGTTCATGTTTGTTTGGTGCTGCTTTCTGTCAACAATTTAATGGAAGCAGAGTCTCATTCTGACCTCGGCTGCCCTTTAACTGCTGTTTGGAGGGGCTTTAGGGTCACAACACAGTCAGCCTGAGGGAGATTCTCTTTGTCAAGTCTGTTGTCAGCCAGAATAATCAACACAGAGCTTTCAGCAACGTCATGTGCATACGTTTAAGTAAGTGGGACAGACCAAAGACAGGTGGTTGCTGCGAATAGCGTCAGTATTTTCCCTGAATGTGAGGGATCATAATTTACTTGTGGTCAGCTTGTATTTTACACACAGTATATGCAACACTGTCAATCTTGATTTTTTTTTTACAAAGAGGCTTGTATATTTTGACGTCATCTATTTCCATAGAAAAGGAGAATTTTGTATGTTTCTAATGACGCTATCCTGGCCTTCAAACGCTGTGCTTACCCTCCTTTTAAAGACCCAACCATGAAATAAAGTCTTGCATCCAGCAGCAGGCCAATTTAATAAGTGAAAGTGTTTGTAATGATTCTGTTTCGGCTTGCCACAATGTTGGCCATGCAGCAACTCAGTGAGCCGTACTGTATGTGGATATGTGTGTGTGTGTGTGTGTGTGTGTATGTGTTGCTTTGCAGTCATTACATAAACCAAAGCCCAAAGCACTTGCCCGACCACAGGAGCAGCTGCAGAAGGGATCTGGGAATACATAACACATGTCGTTTGAAAATTCAAAACTCTGGGAGCAGTGAAGAGGATGGAGTTATAGGAGCTGGTCACTGCTTTGGATTGTGTCCTTGTTGTGACCTTTTTTTAAAGCATGCATTTTTCTGGAGCTTTTCATTTTTTTTAATCACCAACACAGATGCTCACAGTTGAGGCAGTCGGTTCACTGTTCTCTGTCCTGGAGTGGCTCTGTTGGGGGTTTGGTGTGACGTTTATGCACACATTTTTGTGATTAATAGTATAGACTCTCCTGTCTCGGGTCCTGTTGTACTCCCACCCATTCAAAGGTCCCTCAAAGGACCATCTTTGGCAATTGTAGTTTGCAGCTCCTCACCTCACCTCTTCCATCACTAGAGGTATTCATTTTGAATTATTTGATTTTGTCTTTTCTCACCAAATATTTCAAAAAGGACCTGGTTTGTTTTAGGTTTCAATTCCTCTCTGGAAACTGGGGAACCGTCTACAGACGTAATCACCCAATTAGGGATCACAGAGTCACAGGCAACAAAAGGTGTCCCTGTTGCAGCCATCAGCTTATTGTTCCATCTCGAGGCAGCAGCAGGAGTCTGGGGCAGAGTGACCTGGCTGCTAACCAGTCTGCAGTGTCCACGTGTACTTGATTAAGAGGTAGCAGAGGGCAATATGAATAAAATCCTCAATCGCATTATATGTTGTGTTACGTGACGTGAAGATTTTCTGAAAAATCTATTTAGAATTTAGTTTGCTGACAGGAATGTTTTTATTTTTAATTCAGCAAATGTTGCACGTGAAAAATGACAGTGCTTCATTCCATTTATTATTGATGTAACCTTTCTTTATCCTGTTCACTTGAACACAGTTGTTTTTACTTTGAACAGTCTGGGAGAATACTGGGAGGTGGAGGGAGTGTTACATATTTACAAGCTGCTGAGTGCATCCACTGGTGCTACTGGCTACGAAGTAGCTCCCCTGGTTCTACCAGCGTGGTCAGTTGAAAAGGAAAGACGATGATTTATGTTCATCTTGGAAATGCACCCCAAGATTGATGGGACATACTGTAAAATCTATCAGGTAAAAAAAACAAGAATCCTTTCTCTGTGGGCTTATTTGATGACTCTAACAGGCCCTTTATACCTCCTCTAGCTCTGGGAGCATCTTAGGCCTAACCCCACAGTAAACTGACAGGCATAATAATTGTAGTGTAATTAATCATCGGCGCAGGTTGCAGACTGATTCCATTTGCTACGGATAAAAAACAAAACAAATTGTGTAAGGAGATGTTTTAATTTGATGCCTGGCGTAGAGAGGCCCTGGCTGTTGCTTTGTTGTGTGAGGCTGACATTAATTGAGTTTTCCCTTCTCTTACAGTCTCACTCCTTCCTCTTCAAACACACACACACACACACACACACACACACTGCAGTTGGTGACTCAGGGTCTCGCTTGGTTGGTCTGCTGGGCTCTGAGGATTTGTAACCTAAAATCCAGACTTACACAGTGACAGTGTAACATCTCAGTAACTCTGCGAGACATTTGAAGTCTGGTATGGTTTGAGCGTGGAGGGGAAAGAGGGAGAAAGCGTGATAATTCAACCATGCAATTTGGACTTAACATACTGATGTGTTCGCCAGTGCTGCATGCTACAAGCAGGAAAGAGATAAAACAGGAGAACATGAAGCTCAAATAATCTTCAAAAATGCAACTGAAGATCAAACTATGAGAATAAAACTCATGAATGAAAATCCTACAGAAGTCAGCTTTAAGTCTTATCATAATTACATTTGCTTTGGTGCAAAATAGCCAGCGTGTAATGGGTGTATTCCAAGCCTATGATGGCCCCTTTTGAACAGCTTGATAACAAAAGGCTTTCAACACACTCATCACACTGGCAGATGCTACGATAAAAATTGCTTGAGGGGAGTCAGTCAAGTCTCGGGGAACTTCAGGGAGAGGTAAAAAGAAAAAGGAAAAAAAAATCCCAAAATATCCTTCTCATTCTGTCTGTAAAGTTGAAAGTGACAACTGCAATACCTCTTTGTTCTTGGAGTGCAGCTGCAAAAATAGCTTTCAATAATGTATTAGGAGAATAAAGACTGTGAGCTGATTTCAGGGGAGACGGCGCTCAGCTCTGTGTATGTGCCAAGACCAGGAGCTTTCTCTGCTGTGCACCCACTGTGAGGATAGATCAGGCTGGCGAACACAAACTGATCCTCTTGACTCCTTAGATTGCTCCATTTAATCCAGGGAAGAACACAATTTGACCACGGAATAAACAGCTCATCTTCTACATATATTTATGTCTGATCTCATATTGTCACTGGGGACTGGTCAATCACATATACTTAGGACCTGAAATGTTGCTCATGGGCACAGTTGCACAGACAAACATTGCCCCCCCCCCCCCCTCCCCAACCGAGCTGAGGACAGGCAGTGCAGAACAGCAATGTAATGACTCCGAAATGCAAAATGCCTTGACCAACGGAGCATTCACCTAAGGCTATGGAGGTTTAATTTCTTGCGTGCCTGAGTGTGATAAGTGGCAATCTGAATGTTGTGACTTTCCTTCAAGCTCTGTGGAGACCAGCCAACTGGAGCACAAGTGGGAAAAAAAAAAACCTGAATGATCTGAAATCTGAAGAAAGAAGCAAGACAGAATTCCAGTGCAGGCATCAATTATTGAAAAAGGCAAGACAGCAGTGACACAATCTACAGATGATACCCTTTCTTTGTTGGTTTGCTAGACAGTATTTGGGTGGTTTGACTTGGAATTAAATCTTGCATCTAGAAGTGAATATTTTAACAAAGGCAAGCAACATTTCTGCTTGAGTTTAATATTTGTGGTGAGCTTTTGCTCAGGTCATCAAACTGCCATTAACAACCTCCGTGGAGTGTTTTAAATCCCATATTAAAGCTGCTGTAATCTTATTTTTTTTTATATCAAGAATGGGTCAAATGTGGATGGTGTCGCTCATAGTGTTGAACCCACCAATGCAAACACACCTGCGTTATTATTCAACGGTCAGAGCGACTGACTGTAGTGTTAAGAGTGAGATAGTGGGATGGGTCAAGCAAGCAACAAACACAGGGCTTTTGTCCAGGACACTGCTGTTCGTGTCCCGTGCAAAATTAAAAGTTAACGTTGACATTAGTCATGCGAGTCCTAGTATCGTTAGTCCCATGACTCCCGTGAGTTGCTAGTCACATGACTCGTCTGTCACGCCCTGGTCCAATGAGTCATTAGTGTCGATAGTCACACGACTCACAGGAGTCGTTAGTCAAGTTAACTTCAACTGAGCTCAAACTATGTTTTCGCTGCCCAAATCTTACGTCCCTTTTGAAGAGTCATTATGCATGTGACGTGCCCAAAACTGAAGCTACCGTAATATGTGGAGCGTCATAGTTAATAGTTCAGCACTGATCAAGAGTTTGTATTTGACGAGGAAGGAATGAGAATGTGTTGAAGGTGTGATCACCTGACTTTGGGAGTTCTTTTAAGCAACCTTCAGCTCATTGTTTTGGTTTTCTGGCCCCGCAAAATATTAACAAAAATATATATTTTTTGAGTTTACTCTCGCCACTCTCATCAAATTACATTTGGTAGCAGCATGCAGCTGTTGTCAGCAGACAAAGCTCTGATAAACCCGCTGTACAACATCTGCTCAGGGTCAAACAGCAGACAAGACACAGTTAGCAAACACACTGGATCATTTAGCTGCTTAGGAGACAGATATTTGTCTCATGATTCGGTGGAAACCTAAAACTGAGCAAAGAAATTGAGTAAATATTGGACTTAAATTCATCAGGTGACCAGGGACATGGGTTTAACGCTTGTTGAAGTTATGAATATAATTAGGGGTGAAATATCGATACACTTGAGTATCGCGGCATTATGTTCTTTATACTGTATCAATTCTGAAAAACACTGTATATATTATTAATGTTTTAAACAGTGGCTCAGATTGCACAAAAGTAGTTCTATGATGTTGGATGTTACAGGGTGTAACTTTATTTTACTCAGATTTTATGCATATGGCGATGTGCTATTTATACTGCGACAGTTTGATATTGAATCCAAATCCCTATATCATGATAGGTATCATTTTGCCAGATTCTTGGCAATACAGATCCCTTGTTATAATTATTAATTACCAATCATTGCAGGTTGATTGGCAATTTTTCTGTTCAGACACATTTTAATGACGCTTCCTTACCCCAATTTATTAATTTATTCTTTGAACAATCTTGCGAAGCTTTGATTAATATATTTATTACACTTGTTTTTATTACAGTTTCTTCTTTTTTATTGTTATGTTCTTAATTTCTTTTATTTGTAACTGTGAACTACCCGGTTTTGAAAAGTGCCACATAAATAAAGTATTTTCGTAGTTGGGTCATTATAGCCCTATCCTGCAGGGGGCACTCCAGTCAAGTGCAACATACTACATGTATCTGATGTAAGGCGTTCATCTCAGATTTAAGAGTGTTGAAGAGTCTCTGAAAGATGAAATTTGATTTTACTCAACACGTGGGGCTCTTTTGTGTGGATTCATATGACATCATCTGTAAATGTATGCCCTTTTCTTGTCCTGAAAGAGTGTTCTGACTATACAGAGGAGGATAATGAATAGTTTTCAGTAAACATGTAATCTTAGATTTTCGGTTCTCTGTTCTCCTTTTAAATAAAGCATAATGGTTATTTATACAATTTGAGAGGTGATATCATCCACCAACACATCCACACACTCACTTATTAAAACAGGCGGTCTGCAAATGAGTTTCACACTAGGTGCAATCCTCTGGTATTA